TCTCGGCTAAGTGTGGTTTGGTATGCAACACTGGCGGCAGGGGCAAGTGGAAAAACATAGCGAAGTGGAAGAAAGCGGAGACGATGGGTCGCATTCACTCACACCCCACTAGGCCACTACCTTAGTGCTCTTGGGTGCCTTTCCCATCCTAATACCCATGAGATATATAATACTTGATTTGGGACGCTACTATGTGCAGTATTTCAAATTAATAACGCTCTTTCATGTAAGTTGTTACTCAAATAAAAACATATGCAAAAGTTTAAGTTCTTGTCATTCATTGTTCAGAAAATGGGAATTGTGTAAAGGACACTATTGAATTAGTAATTACTAAACAAAAGAAATTCCTTTTTGAGGAAATTTTGAAAGAAAAACCGATGATTAAAACCTTACTTAAGTCACATTGTGGAAATTGAAGTTTTGAGATTTCATTTTGGGTTGACTGGTTGATGTGTTGACTTTGAAGACTTTGCCCTACTTATTGAGAAATTGTAATTTCTCAAAAATTTAAAAGTTCAATCCTCGGTCGTCATTTAGTATTGCGGTCTAGTGGTATTCCTCTTCACTGGTAAGTGAGAGGTCTTATGTTCGATTTTCGCCAAAGGCAAATTTGCAATTGGAGAAATGAGCTCATCCCCCAAAGGGGATGCAAGTATTATCCTTATATATAGAGGGGGATTAATCTATAATTAATATAACTTATTGTTAGAGATGATGCTGGATGAATTGGTTGCACACAATAGAGGCTTACTAAACAAGTTTATGAGTGGGGAATTGATAAACAGTTTTTGAGTTTAAAACCTTGAACTCAAATAGAGTACCAAACGGTCTCTAAAACTCCCAAATTAACTACAACCCTAGCCAGCTATCTGGCTAGCGGACTCAGCTTTCGAGAGCCCCTTAGATGCTCCTGCATCAACGGATAACGCTGCTACAAATTCAAACATTTCAAGACTAACCCAATTGCAAATCTGCATAATTTCAACAATTTCATGCCAAATTGCAGGGTGTTTATATTCGCAAATCGCGAAACTTACGCCAAATATATCAGCTACAAATATTTGTAAATTCTTTAACAACTATGCACGAAAATAATAGAAGCGGTTTACTTTTGTAACACCAATTCATCAGAGTAAGAACTAACAGAGAATGTAATTTCAAGAAAATGCGAAAGTTCATCATCACTGAAAAGCAGTTCCTTGCCCCAAAAGCAGAAAAACAGAAAAACCCACAAAATTCCAAAATTTTCCAATTTTAATTTCTAGTTACTCTTTCAATTTTAATCCAAAAAATTTATGTTTTAACTCATAAATAGTTTTTTTCTTTCCACTCTTATGGATAAAACTTTTAGTTTGAGATTATTAAAGAATGAATTTAGGATAATTTTTTCTTAAATAACATTTAAAAAAAATTATATAGACTATCCTAATTTAATTTTATGAATTCCGATAAATATTGAAAAATCACTAAACCGACATCCTGAAACTTGTGAAAAATTATGAAAGAATATAAAACACATAAAAGATTTTTTTTAATTACTTTAGCAGTTGGATTTAAATTTGGACTTTTAGATTTTTTTTTTATTTTTGGATAAATTACATAGTAGCCCTTAGGTTTGAGCTCTATTACAACCTCATACAACATCTTTAAAACATTTCACTTTCATACCTCACGTTCTATTTTATTTCAAAATAATACATCCCTTACATTTTTCATCCATTGATTTGTTAAGTGTTGACGTGGCTACCACATTTGTGCCATGTGTCTGCCAAATGTGTGACACGTGGCAAATTTCCTTAATCTTCTAAATTAAAAAAAAAAAAACCAGAAAACTTGAAACCCATTATCCCCTGAACCCTGCGAATCCCCCCAACCCCTGAACCTTGGAAGAAGAAGTAAAAAAAAAAACCAAAAAACTTGATTATCCCCCTGTGAAACCCATATCCCATTATCCCCCCAACCCATTATTCCCCAAATCCCATTATCCACCCCAAACACCACCCCCCTCCCCCGCCCGCGCGAACCCAAATCCCATAAGCCCCTCATACCTGCAACCCATAACCCAGATCCCATAAGCCCTCATCCCACCCTCATCCCTCCTCTACACACCTCACTCTTTAAATCTACACCCATTCCTCCCATTTTCACCTCACGAGGCGGTCGGGATCTGAATTTTTTATTTTTTTTCTAGGGTTGCAGATAGGGGTCAGGGGAAGAAGATGAAGGTAGGGGAGAAGAGAGGGGATGAGGACGGGGAAAGACGAACTGAAAGGGGTTTTTTTTTTTTTTTTTTTTTTTCTGGGTTGCGGAAGAAGATGAAGATCTGGGAAGGGGGGATTGCGGGGAAATGGGATGCGTTGCAGGTACGAGGGTCTTATGGGATGGGGGTGGATAATGAGATCTGGGGAATAATGGGTTGGGGGTGGATAATGAGATCTGGGGAATAATGGGTTGGGGGGATAATGGGATATGAGTTTTGCAGGGAGGGGGGAGGGGATAATCAAGTATTTTGGTTTTTTTTTTTAATTTAGAAGATTAAGGTTTTTTTTTTTAAATTAAAAATAAATAAATAAATTTGCCACGTGGCACACATTTGGCAGCCACATGGCACAAATGTGGCAGCCACTTCAGCACTTAACGAATCAATGGATGAAATTGTAACGGATGTATTATTTTGAAATAAAATAGAACGTGAGATATGAAAGTGAAATGTTTTAAAGATGTTGTATGAGGTTGTAATAGAGTTCAAATCTGAGGGGCTACTATGTAATTTAACCTTTTTTTTTTTTACCGTTGGATTTGATTAAGAAGTACCAAAGAGTGACGGCTTTCGCTACCTAAGATCTATCTTGCAAAAGAGTAGAGAGTTGGATGGAAACCTCAACTATAGAATACAAGCTAGACGGATGAAGTGGAAGAGTGCATTCGGCGTGTTGTGTGATCATCGTATGCCATTGAAGCTCAATGAAAAATTTTATTGTACAACAATAAGGCCGACAATGCTTTATGGAACAGAATGTTGGGCGGTGAAGCATCAACACGTACATAAATAGGTGTAGCAGAGATGAGGATGCTTCGTTGGATGTGTGGGCACACGAGAAAAGATAAGATTTGGAATGAGGATATCCGAGGTACGGTAGGAATACCCGAAATTGAAGGAAAGATGAGAGAAAATCAATTACGGTAGTTTAGACATGTGAAACGAAAACCTACTGACGCTCCGATTAAAAGATGCGATTACAAGACAAAGGTTCAGGGCCAAAGGGGTAGAGGAAGACTTTGGATGAGACTCTAAGAAAATACTTAGAGTACTTAGATCTAAAGGAAGACGTGACATAGAACCGAACGCAATGTCATTCTAGGATTCATATATTTGACCTCACTTAGTAAGAAAATGTTTGTTGTTGTTGTACCGTTGGTTTTGATCATATTATATCTTAGCCGTTGAATTCAATGAATTTATAAATATAAAATTAAAAAAAGTACACATATAGGGTGGGGTCAGCCCCACTAACCCGAAGAAATCCTAGGCTAAATTTGCCCTATAAATGAGGTTTGGGTAAAAACTAATATTTGCCCCAAGGGTTGGAGCAAGTTGGAGTAAGTTTAAAACCTAACATTTGAGTTTTACTCCAAATGTTAGGGATGATCTAAGCGTAGTTAGTGAAAGGTATGGTATGTGAAAAATACGCACGGTGTACAATTTTACTAAAATAATACTTTGAAAATTTGGTTAAAATTTTAATATTTATTAATCAATAATAAGTTTAAACTATGGGTAAAATGTGTGAATTGAAAAACGTGTGAAAATAACGTGTTTTAAATCTTTCTCTTCACTTGGAAGTGAGAAGTTTTAGTGCAAAAATATCTATGTATTAAAAAAAACGTGTTTTAAACCTGAAAAATATGTATAGTACGTTGGAGTTTTAAAAAGCGTACAATTTAACAAATCATTTATACGTGTATGGAAAACAAAACTTGTTAAAATACGTATGTACATATATAATAAGGATATTATACGCAAATTTACTAACTATGAAGTTAAGTGACAATGCTAAATATTTTGAGTATTGTTATTGACATTTTAGAAAAAATCATTATGTTCTTTTCTAATAAAACATATTGTAAGAAATGTTAGCAATATTCATATTAAATTTAATGTTTTGTTTTACACAAGCGATTTTATGGAGTGGGAAATCAATCCCAGGCCTTCAACTACAACGGAAAAATGCTCCTAACTTGAGCGTCCCTTTCACTCCAAACCACCCTTTGCACTAAACCTTAATGTTAAGCTCTTACCATCATGCAACTTTCTGCTTCTCGTTTACAAGTGAATCTGTTTTATGTTTTCACTTATGAATATGGCAAAATAACATTTTTAGAACACCGATAACAACAAACACTGGGATTAAATAAAAATGTAACTAGCAATGTTGTTACAATCCACCTTCTCTTTCACACTCCTAACACCATTTGCAAATTCTATAAAAAATGATAGCAGTTTGGGACTACTTTTTGTAGAGTTAGCCATTCAACAAAGAACATAAAAATAAATAAATAAATAAAAAAATAAAAATTGATCCAACAAAAACCACTAATCATTAAAATTCTAAAAAATACCACACAAATTAAAATTCGAAAACTTCAAGTCATATAAGCAAAACACACCACAAACATCAACGAGACAAAATCCAAGGCAGTAGCAAGAGAAAGAAAGCAAAAACAGAGAGAAAACTTTGGTGAGTAGAGAGTGGAAAATATTATTGATGAGTGATCATGTCTTTTCTCCTTTGAGCAGCATGCTTTGTCCTTCTCAAGTTTTCTTAAACTCTGAGGTAAGAGTCCTTGATTGCGCTCATTTTTCTGACAACCGCGTCCATCAGCATCCATTCCCTTTGTGACATTGCACATCAAGAGAGTCTTATCTGCATCAATGGGACCAAACATTCCTTTAATTTATTTGCTTTCATCGAGCCACCATTGTTACGTCTGGATGGAGTTCATTCTCGCACTATGTCATTGTTGACGCCACCATCTGTTTCGAGGTTGAGAATAATTGAATGGTCAATAACATCCATGACATGGTCTGGCAAAGCCAAGGCTACAAATTGGTAAATGGTTAAACCGCCCTTGAACATGTCATTAATAGGTCTTTTTCCTGTGAACATTTCACACAATAGTATCCCATAGCTGTAAACATCTCCAAGTATGGAAACTTGGCCTCCTATGTCGTACTCTGTCAGGACATACATACAATATGTCGTATGCAATTTACTATTAGAACAATATCTTTTTTAGATTTATATGATACTTATTTTCCAAGAAAAAAAGAGGAAGTAATGTATTTTTCATAAATAGAAATTAATTAGTTGGTTTTTTGTAATAATTTACTAAGAACATAAAAAGGAAGTTAGAATGATAGAAACTCATACCTGGAGGAATGTAGCCTATAGAACCCTTTAGCTGAGATGACAGTGTTTGACTGAAGGATGAATCATTTGATGTTTCAAAGAGGAACCTTGCTAAACCAAAATCCCAACATGGGCTACCATATCTTCATCAAGAAGTACGTTGCTCGGCTTTAGATCACAATGAACAATGGCCGTTTCACAAGTGGTGGAGATAATCTAATGCAGAAGCAACATCAATGGCAATGTTCAATCTTTGCATAAAACTCATTCTTTTGCTTGGAGATTCCTCCTTGTATCTTGGATACAACGTTGAGTCTAAACTTCCCTTTGCCATGAACTCGAAAACTAGACTTTTGAAGTCCCTGCCCTGATTATCAATGCTCGAGCACGCAGTTATGATCTTGAGAAGATTCTGGTGCCTTATACTCCTTAAAGCTTTGCATTCATTTATGAAACTTTTGGAAGCTCCTTGTTGTTGAAGGTTTAGTACCTTAACCGCAACTACTGTTCCATCATTAGGAATTATCCCTTTATAAACATAACCAAAACTTCTGAAACCAATAAGATTATCCACAGAGAACTTGTTAGTTGATTCAGCGAGTTGTAAGGAGGAGACACTTGATTTCCAATCCTGATAAGAATGTGAAGTTACAAGTCTATCTCTTGACTTTTCTAGCATTGAACAAGCACCACAGAAGCATGATAGAGCAATTATGATTCCAAGTACACATGCTATGGGGATGACTACTTTTGGGGAGTGTAGTCCTCGAGATGAATGGTGTTTTTTTGGGGGGCATGGAGGTAGATGTAATTGTGGGATGCCACTACAAAGCCTATGATTTCCAAGAACAGAAACACCACTAGCATTTGCAAAAATACCATCTTTAGGCAACTTGGCCTCAAAATCATTATACGAAAGATTGAGATACTTGAGAGCACCAAGCTTGCCTATGAATTCAGGAATTGGCCCAGACAAGTCGTTGCTTGAAATATCAAGTTTTTCCAAGCCTTTCAAATTCTTAAGAGATTGAGGAATTGTTCCTTCAAACTTATTACTTTGCAAATACAAGCACTCCAAACTAGTACAACAGTCGAGGGTGCGTGGGATTTCACCTAATAAATTGTTTCTTAATACATTTAGCTCCGTGAGATGCACTAAATTACCCACCTCAAAGGGCATCAGACTAGTCAAATAATTGTCAGACAGGTCTAGAGAAATTGAAAGGGTTGAAAGCTCCATAAGCATTTTAGGTATGGTTCCCGTAAGGTTGTTACTGGAAAGGTAAAGATCTAATAGGTAGTGACAATTTCCAAGACTTGGAGGTATACTACCCTCAAACCTGTTTGAGTCTATGTTCATGTATAACAATGAAGTCATATTACCAAGGGATGATGGGATTGACCCAGAAAATTGGTTAACATCCAAATACAGTTCCTTTAACTTTTCTAGCTTCCCAATTTCATGCGAGACATTGCCACTCAAATGGTTATCTTCTAATTCTAAAGCAGTCAAGTTTATAAGGTTTCCAATTCCCCTATGAAGGTTTCCATGTATAAAATTTCCCCCCAAACTAAGAACATTAGGTTGGGTCGAAAGGTTGGCTATGGATTGTTGGATATATGTCAACAATCTGTGATAAATTGATATATGCTAATAAATAAACAGTGTAATATTGAAGATCGAGGCTTGCGTACCGTAATGTCCTTGAAACAGAAATTCCGCCCCCACTCAGTACTTGTAGTTCTCCGGACGTCTGTTTCACCAGGATTCAACGATTAAGCTAGAATTCCAGCACCGGAAAACTTAACTTCTGGCGAATTTCTTTGTGGTACTTTCAATAAGAATGATATGGATTATAGAAGGAGATTTATGTTTTCTGTGTTCTAAATATCATGCAGATGGATGTATATATAGAGTGATTATTCCTGTTCGCAGCATGTATGAGAATGAGATGTGACTGTTGGGAGACATCTCATCATATGTGTGTTTTCTTTTTGCGTACTTTCACACTTCAGACTTCATCTGAAAAGATGAGTGGATGAGTCTGTTGATAAGATAATAATAATAAAAATAATTAAATTCGAAATTAATTAAAAATAATTAATTAAATCCAAAAATAATTAATTAGAGTATTTAATTATTAGAGTCCATCTTTTGATAATTAATTATATTATATTATATTAATTAGCACATCTCAAAGCCCAACCTCAAGGGTGAGCCCAATTTTATTTTCCAAGGTCTATCACTCCAATCACTTTCTACAAGGGACAAAACCTTATAAAGTGAGGAAACATTGTGGTGGTGAGCAATGTGGGACAATGAAATTCTACTCAAAATTTCCAACATGGATCCCGGAATTTCTACTCCAAAATTATTATAGATTAGACTCAAAAACTCCGAACTAGTGCAATTAGCCAAGAAACTAAGAAAATTCAAGTCACCAACTTTTCTATTTCCTAACCGATTGTCATGTATGTTTAGCCAAATTAAGCTTCTCAAGTTTCCTAGACTCTCACCAAGGAATGTCCCAGAGAAGCCATTTTCAGAAAGTTCAAGCACCTGAAGTCTAGAAGCATTTGACAATGATATAGGAATATTTCCTCTGAATTTGTTCGTACAACAGTGAAGTTTTATGAGATTAGGAAGCATAGTGTCGAGATTTGGTGGTAGCTCTCCATGCAACTGGTTAACGCCAACAAAAAAAGTGGATATGGAAGAAATATTATAGATTGGGGATGAGATTATACCAGATAGATCATTAATATGAACTAAGAACTTCTCCAAGCCTGTTATATGCCCAAGCTCATTGGGTATGCTTCCTTGAAAATTGTTGTCACCAAGATAAAGAATACTCAACAAAGAAAAGTTTCCTATCCATGGTGGGATGGTTTCAGTGAGATTGTTACCATCAAGCCATAAATATTTTAAATTCAACAATGAACTGAGTTGTTTCAGAATGGACCCCATAATCCGATTGATTTGTAGATCAAGCACTCTTAGTTGCGTGCATTGTGACAAATTAGTTGGAATTTTCCCACGGAAGGAATTATGAGAAAGGTTGAGATATTGTAAGCTTTGTAGACGATCCATTTCTGGAGGAATTTCTTGTTGTCACTCAAATTGATACCAGTAAGATAAGTAAGATTTCCAATGAAAGATGGAATGGAGCCTACCAACTTTTTTGCTGTGTTTTTTTTTTCAAAGCACAACAATACCAAACCAGCCTTAAATCTCACTTCCATAATTCCATTGGTTTCTACTTTTGCCCAAGGCATGAACGGCTGCTTAATTTGTAGTGCTCGGTTAAAAAAAAAATGGAGAAAATCTTGAAAGAGAAACTTAATATATGCTAAAGTTGAAATACCCTCCCAATTTTCTACCGATGTTAATTTGCGCAAATTCCTATTATGCCCTGATATACCCATCATGTATGTACTGTATTTATTTTACATTTTCTTTTTCTTCGTTCTCCCTTCTCACTCTTCTCCTCGACTAATCTGGCGACGACGACCAACCAACAAAACAAGCCCTCGATTGGTGTTTTTGGTTCCTCTCTAAAAGCCCCCCTCTCTCTTTCGAAAATTCCTCGCCGCTGCTCTCTCCTTGATGGTTCAATTTGGGTTTGCTTAAATCCTATGACGAGTAAGTATCTCCGATCTGTGATTCTTAGTGTTCTGAAAAGGTTTATCGGCTCGGAATAATTTGAAATTTTTGGGAGTTAATGGTTTGAGAAACAGCTCTCAATTTCCGGTTTTTGTTTTTGCTGATTTTTGAAGTGGTTGTGAGAACCAGTTCTTTTGAACCAATTTAATCGGTTTTAGTGATTGCATGTGGAGGGTTTTTGAATTTGTAGAGTCGATCTGAAAATATGGTGGGATTTTAGGGGATTGAAAGTGTTTACAGACTGTATGTGCTGAGTTTGAATTTGAATTTTACAGACTGTTTGTTTTCTCAAATTTGGTTTTGGATGAGAAAACGATGATAAACAAAGGGGAAGTCCCAGACTTGCAGTAGGCCTCAAAAGTGTAAGTCATCTTTTCTTCTATTTTGCTGATTTTGTCTCATGGTTTCTTGCAAAGCTAGCATCTTGTAATATATAAATAATATAATGTATTATAATATATAAAAGTATAATGTATATAAGTATATTAATGGGTTATAGTATAATGCATGTTTATATTGGTAAAAGTAATATTGGAATGATATTTCATGTCTCCTCATTTTCTATGTCAGAAAAGACTTTCCTTAAATATCATTATCATATATATATGGAGTAAGGGGCGGAGCCAATTACATGATGCCTTACATGATTATAGTTCCTCTTTTTGTTCAGCTCTAAACCCCTCTCCCCTGGTAATTATTGAATTCCTTACTAATGTTGTTTTGGCTTTTAGTTAAATTTGGTCAGGAAAAGTTCTATACTTACTAACTTTTGGAATGATAATTATCAATCTACTACAGGGATACTGCACAATTAAAATGAATCAGGGATTATGTACTAATATTTAAGCTATATAATGTTTATGGATGTGTACCTCACCTCATTGTGTAAAATAAAACATCGTTGTATAACAAAATGGATCTTATACTCATGTAAAATTTGGATCTACTTCAAATTTATCACTAAATATAATTGGGTTTTAGTAAGTTTTTCATCATTTTGTAGATTTTTTCCTTTAACTTTCTGGGTTTTGGAGAAATTTTTTCCTTTATCTGAACTTAGTAGTTTTTTAGTATGCTTTGTACAATTAAATTTCTGATTTTGGTAGTGATACGCCAATTTCAAGTTTGAAAAGAAAAATGTATATTGCACATGTGATTTGTTGTTTATGTGGTAAAAAAATAGGATGACTTTATACTCACAAAGAAGGGTGGAGGAATTTAGAGATTAGGGTAATGAACTGCTTTGGAGCTTAAGGTTGTTGGTTGAGAAATTAATAAGCTTTTCTAAGACCCGGTTTTAGGTTTTGAATTCTGCCCGAACGAAACTGAAGTCTATTTCATCTGCTTGATACAGGTTTTAGGGGTTTGTGGACAAAGTTTTCGGACGGTGTTTTCCCCATGATGAGCCTCACTGGACAATACATTCTGTAAATAGTAACTTTTGAACACTGTGCTCTATTGGGTTGATGAGAAAGTGATTGAAACAGATTCTGTAAATCAATGTTGGTGGAGGTGTTGTTCCGCAGCCTCAAGAAGAACAGAGCAATGTGTTTGAAATAAGGTCTGACTGAAACTTTTCTATTAAATTTTGCATTTTTTGAGTTTTAAGCCATTCAAAATGGTTTGTTAAGTAGGAATAAAAATACCTGTTAAACAAAGATTACTAATTACTAACCAAATTCACATTTGTCTACATTAATCTATTAAGTAGGTAACTTATCAATTTTTTGGGGCGATCTTGTGTATAGAGTGATGTGTTGTAACCAGCGATGCAAGGGCGAGATCTGATCGGTTGCACTCGAACAAGGTTTGTTTCTCGAATCACATTCATTAGTAATATTATTAATGTGCTTTGGTAGGGGTTTTCAATATGATTTTCTAATTTCCCCTTTGCAACATTTTTTTGTTTTGTTTTAGGAATATGTATGTGATTTATGTTTGATTAGCATAAAAATTAATAAAACATAAGAAATGCAGCAATTGGAAACATGGTTGCTAAGTGATAAGACATAGTAATTGTTTTAAATAACTATACTACTTTTGTATTGTATGCAAGCGTAAGAAAATTCCAAATTGTAATACAGGATCTTAGGGCTGAGTGTTTTGTGTTTAATAAGTCAGTGCATTGGTAGAATACGAGCCGTTGTGTCTGGTTTGGATGTGTGTCTAAGGTGGTACCCCATTTCAAGGCAAATGAGAACACTTGACTATGGTAACCTAATGGCTTTCTTTGTTATTTTTTCTTAAACCTAATGGCTTTCTTTGTTATTTTTTCTTAATGGGTTATCCATTCCTTGCGTTTTTACTGAGTTATTGGCTCTGGATATTTTGTGGTTCACAATGATTCTGTTTTTGTTGTTGGGTTGCTAAAAGCAAGCAAAACCTATAAAATTGGCCTTTCGGTAGTTTTTTTCTCTACATGAATATTATGCTAGAAATTATCTGTTTGTGTTTTGTTTTTGTCTTAATATACTGGATAAACTTTGTTATGACAATCTTAACCAACAGGTGGATGACGCATGTATTAGTTATGTTTGTAGAACTCAATGCATACCTTTTATCTTAAACTTATATCAAGTAATCATATTTGGTAATCTCCATTTGATTTGGGGACTTCACTTTCTCAGAAAGAATCATATGTTATTTAATTAATTACAAAAAAGATTCATAAGATTCTTATAAAGTTGAAGCTTAGTGTATGTGAAAGAGAGAGGGAGATCCCGTCTTGAATGGCATCATGAAAATCGTTCAAACAATATCAAGAAAGAGCACTGAACTTGTCTTCCGAAGTTAACCTTCGGCCGCTACAGTAACGTCTATGGGTGCCTACTCCGTCGCTAATCGCTTTAGTCACCGTGCAGTTATGAATTAAGGGGATTAACTGTTGCCTCTTTGTCACGATTAATTGCAGTTATACAGGAAGAAGAAAAAAAAAAAAAAGGTTGATAAATTCTGAAGGAGAATAAAAGGCTTTGAGGGAAAAAGCTAGAAATGGAGGTGTGTGTGGTTTTGTGTACCATCAACCGGAGAGGGAAAGCAAAAGAATACGTAGAGACAGAGAGATGGGGTTTAAATATGAGGGCATAGTAAGGAGAGGAAGCAAAAGCAAGAGTGGTAATCAATCATTAGTGGAGTGAAAAATGTCATTGGTGCGGTCAAAAGCACTCACATTTTCTTTTAATTTTAGGGCCAGAAAATAGTAACGTTATTCGCTCCCTCTAATATCATTGGAGTGAATAAATTGGTCATGAACTAGGCACTTCTAAAATTCGAACCTAAGACATTTTGTAATGAAAAGATTACTGAACAGTATTAGTAAGTGACAAACATCTTTTCCTTAACTGCCGTGTCTTTTACTTCAGGAATAAAGGAAGAGTTAGAACCAACATATGTCCACAATATATGGGATCTAGAGTGATAATTAGTGGAGACGAAGGTGACATTGTTTGGTACTAAGGGATGTGATATCTACACACTCTATTTTATTTCTCACACACCATTTTAATTTTCGGCCGTTGGATCAGATGAATTGAAGAAGATCAATGGACAAAAATTTTCAAGGATGTGAGAGAAGTAAAATGAGGTGTGTGAATAGCACATTCCGGTACTAAAACATCAAATGCTCTCACTTTTTCTCCGATACTGTTTCTAGTGAGAGAGAGAGAGAGAAACCAAGAGCGGTAATCAATGGTAATTAGTGGAGAGAAAAAAAATGTCATTGTAGGGGTCAAATGCACTCACATTTTCTCTTAATGTACCTGTGGATAGTAATAATACTTATACACCCTAATGCGGGTTTGATCTTCCTCTCCCTCTAATATTGAACAATTTAATCCATTAAAGTTATCGTTTATCTCAATTTTTTTTATATACAACAATATATCTACAAAACACTAAGGAGGGGAGAATAATTGGTTGCAAACTTGTCACTTGTGAGATTCAAATTTAAAACATTGTAAAAGAAATATCATTAAACAGTATTACTAAGTGGCAAACATCTTTTTTCCTTTGCCCTTTTTATCCTTTTAAAATACAAATCTTTTCAATGTACTTTAAATTTTATAATAAGTATATAATTCAATAAATTCTAGACACCAAACCGGCAATATATAAGTAATATGTAGAAAAATGGCAGAGTTATCCATGCTTGGCATCTTGGGTGTAAAGAGCCAACATCATATCAATTGTTCTGAGGTATTTGCTGAGGAAATGGGTTGAACATTTTGAGTGATTTGGTTGAAGAGGTATTCTTGGAGAGGAGGAAGAGTTAAGCATTCTTGCAGGTCTACCTTGACATGGAAGATGAAGGTCGACATGTGTAGGGATTTAAGCAAGTAGTGGTGCTGTTCCTTTACGGTTATCGGCAACAATAGTGTAATTGGAACTGAAAAATTATTGTATAACACATACTGAATTATTCAAAACCAAACCTTCTCTCTCTCCGACTCTCCTTCCTAAAAACAAACCCTAATTTTTCTGTAATCTCAGCCGCCGGCTGCTTGCTTTGGGTTAGGGTTGGTGACAACCACTCTTCACCTTCCTCCTAGCCTCTCTCTCCCCTCCTAACCCTTTGCCAACCCCTCCACCTCAGTTTTTCACCTTTCACTCCCTCCCCTTTCCCTGCGCTGCCCCCTCCCTCGTGTCTCTCCCTTTCCTTGCATCTCTGTCTACCATCTCCCTCCCCCGTAGTTTTTTCCCATTATTTTGTGCCTTTACCTAGATTTGCAGTTGCCTGTTTCAAGGTTCTTTCCTTGATTTGGGGCTTGATTGGCGGTCAGGGTAGGCTTTGTGGCTATTGGTGGGTTGGTTCCACTTCCATCAGCTTGTTTTTGTGGTTGTGACCCTCTCCACTCCAATTTGGTGGTTGCATCCTTGCCCGCTTAGATCCTGCGGACCCGCCGCCTAGGGCGTTCAATGACGGGGCGGCTATCTTATGCAACCATATTAGGTGACTCCGCCTTGTGTGGCCCGATCTTCTCAGGGATGTTGTTGAGCTCACTAGTGTGCTAATGGTTTGGTCCTGGTTTGGGTCTTGGTCGTTGAGATGAATTGATCGGTGGTCCTTTCATTCTCGGAGTAGTATGTAGTTGGTTTTGTTACCTCCCCCTGTAAATTGTGGTCGCGTGTTTTGTGGTTGCTGGATTTGTCTTTGCTTTATACGATTGATATGTAGTCTCGTCTTTCAACGATGATTTATTGTGATCTCGCTTGCGATGACTTTATGTGGCTTCACACTTGTGCGATGACCTATGTGTTTGCCAGTGTTAATTTGTTGCGTCTATCGTGCTTTTGTGACAAATTTGAACTGGAGACATCTTGTAGGGTAAGGCAATGCTTGTGTTAGCCATTTAGGGGTTTATTGTTTGTTTACTTGCACAAATTTACTCCAACCAATTTCTTGATCACTGAAGCTTATGTACCCGATTGGCATCTTGTGTAATTGTTTGTGAAATTCAATGAAATACCAGTCTATCGTTTCTTGTCCAAAAAAAAAAAAACAAAAACAAAAACAAAAACAAAAAACAAGTCACATTGTAGAAATTGGAATTGTGAGTTTTGGGTTTACTAGTTGACTTATGAACTCTGAAGTCTTGCCCTACTTATCGAGAATTTGTCATGTCCACACTGGAATTTGGGGACCAATTTAATTTATAGAAATGCTAAGGAGATTTTTTCAAATGTGACTCTGTATGGTCTCTGTCAAATTAAATTTTCACTTTTTAAATATTAACGTATGAATTTTAAGCACATCAAACTCAATAATTGATCCCTTAAAAATACAAAATTTATCATACCACATATACATTTAAATAAAATTTAGAAACTAAAAATCAAATGAAAATTAGGATACATGGCCCACCTGCTGAATTACTCTCATCTCTATGGTTTCATATTAAGAGTATGATTATCTCTCATCCTATTCACATCATCTTCCCTCTCCTCCCCTCACACTATGCTTTTTGTCTTGTTGTCTCTACAAAAAAATCAATATAAAATGTTGATGTGACTTAATTGTGCCAATTCTTATCCCCACTAATAACTAACTGTTTAACCTACTAATAAAAATTAAAATTTAAAGTAAGAAAGCATGCACACTATAAATCCAATTCCTTACAAGGAAGCAAGCACGCTACAAATAATGGGTATTGTTACCTATACACTCATTTTTACTTCTCACACACTTCTCTCAGTTTTCGGCCTTCAGATTTAAAGCACACTGCTCACCCTTCATTGTTCCTCCAATTCATACATATACAATAAGAAATAGTCAGTACGAATTTGAAATAGAACATACAAACGAAAGTACTATGTTCAATTTTAACATACACAACATCGTCAAGGCAAAGTTAAAAGCAATATAACATGAAAAAGAAAAAGAGAAACAAAAACCACAAAACAGCAATGCCTTCTCATGTGAAGCAGCAGAGCGGCAAAGGTCGAACATCTTTGGTGAGTACAGAGTGGAAAACGTTCTTCTCAGCGATGCCCATTCCCCTTTGAGCAACATTGCTTTGTCCTTCAGTCTTTTCTTAAATTTTGAGGTATGAGTCCCTAATGGCACTCATTTTTCCGACAACCACATCCATAAGCATCCGCTTTCTTGGTGATATCGCACAACAATTGAATCCTATCTGCATCACTGCAACCAAGCATTCCTCTAATTTCTTCGCCTTGTTTGGACCATGATAGTTACGTCTGGGCGTAACTCTTTCTCGTACTATGTCATCGTTAACATCATCATTTGCTTTGAGGTCAATGAGCAATGAAGGGTCAACAACGTCCATCACATGGTCAGGCAAAGCCATGGCTGTGAATTGGTAAATGTTTAGACCATCTTTGAACATGTCATCAGTGGGCCTTTTTCCGGTGAATATTTCTAGCAACATTATCCCGTAGCTGTAAACATCTCCCAGAATTGAAACTTGGCCTCCCATGCCATACTCTGCCATTGTTAGCAAACATGTGTATCTTATTATAGCACTCATAGTCCAGCTCAACAAAGCACTTTAAGAATTAGTTGGTTGTAAGTTAGCATGGTTAATTACTCAGTAAACTAATCCCTTTAGTGTTACTTCTAATTAATCAAACCTTAACTTAGCTGAGTATCCAGACTTGTATTTTATAGACGTTCATTCAATCAATTCTAAGGATAAAGTTTATTAACATTTTCTAAGTACGATTCATGAAGTCAATGTGGAATTCGATTAGCCATGACATTATAAACTAAGATATCATATGCAAATGCAATTTGACTTTTACAAATCAATAACGTCGTTACAAATTTTTATGTTATGATTTTTTGTTTGTTAAAAATAAGAATTAATTAGCTAATTTAGTAATAAGTTATTAGGAACAGAAAAAAGAAACTCATTATTCATACCTGGAGGAATGTAGCCTATAGAACCCTTCAACTGAGATGACATGGTTTGACTAAAGGAGGAATCATTTGATGTTTCAAAGAGGAGCCTTGCTAAACCAAAATCCCCAACATGGGCTACCAGATCTTCATCAAGAAGTACATTGCTTGGCTTTAGATCACAATGAACAATAGACGTTTCACAATGGTGGTGGAGATAATCTAATGCAGAAGCAACATCAATGGCAATGTTCAATCTTTGCATAAAACTCAATCTTTTATTGGAGATTCCTCCTCACATCTTGGATACAACCATGAGTCTAGACTTCCATTTTCCATGAACTCGAAAACTAGACTTTTGAAGTCCTTGCATTGATTATCAATGCTTGAGCATGTTGTTATGATCTTGAGAAGATTACGGTGCCTAACACTTCCTAAAGCTTTGCATTCATCAATGAAACTCTTAGAAGCTCCTTCTTGTTGAAGGTTTAATACCTTAACAACAACTATTGTTCCATCACTAGGAATTACCCCTTTATAAACAGAACCGAAACTTCCTGAACCAATCAGATTATCCACAGAGAACCCATTAGTTGATTTAACGAGTTCTGAATAGGATACGCTTGATTTCCAATCCTTATAAGAGCGTGTAGTTGCATGTCTATCTCTTGACTTTTTGAGCATTGAACAAGCAATAAAGAAGCACGATCCAACAATTATGAATGCTAGTGCACAAGCTATTGGGATGACTACCTTTGAGGAAAGCAGTCCACGAGATGAATGCTGCGAATTTTTGGGGCATGGGTGTAGATGTAATTGTGGGATGCCACCACATAATCTATGATTTCCAACAACTGAGACACTACTAGCATTTGAAAAAATCCCTTCTTTAGGCAACTCACCCTCGAAATTATTATATGAAAGATTGAGATATTTTAGAGCTTCAAGCTTGCCTATGAATTCAGGAATCTGTCCAAATAAGTTATTGTCTGAAATGTACAGTTCTTCCAAGGCTCTTAAATCCTTAAAAGACTGAGGAATTTTTCCTTCAAATTTATTGGCTTCCAAGTACAGGAACTCCAAACTAACACATCTGCCGAGGGTGCTGGGGATTTCACCTGATAACTTGTTTGATATATTTAGCATTGTGAGATGTACCAAATCGCCTACTTCACTTGGCAGTGAACCAGTCAAATAATTGTCGGCAATTTCCAAGACTTGGAGGTATACTTCCAGAATTCTTACGGCAGTCTTTGCTCCTTCATACATATCCTTTATAGCTTGGATATATGCTACTCGTACTCCTTTTTTCTCTAAAATCCTCCAAAGAATGTCTCTTGGGACCCTATCATACGCTTTTTCCAAATCTATAAAGACCATGTGTAAATCCTTTTTCCCATCTCTATATCTTTCCATCAATCTTCGTAAGAGATAGATTGCCTCCATGGTTGAGCGCCCTGGCATGAACCCGAATTGGTTGTCCGAAACCCGTGTCTCTTGCCTCAATCTATGCTCAATGACTCTCTCCCAGAGCTTCATTGTATGTCTCATTAGCTTAATACCCCTATAGTTCATGCAATTTTGTACGTCGCCCTTATTCTTGTAGATAGGCACCAAAGTGCTCGTTCGCCACTCATTTGGCATCTTCTTCGTTTTCAAAATCCTATTGAAAAGGTCAGTGAGCCATGTTATACCTGTCTCTCCCAAAAGTTTCCACACTTCGATTGGAGGGGGAGGGCGTCAGGTAGTCAACAGCCGGCACTCCATGATCACGTCGAATCCTTATGAAAATGAATCCAGAACAAAATCGCGCTAAAGCTAGGGCGTCACCCGTAAGTGGCGCGCTGTGTGGCCCGAGCACAGTGATAAGTGAGCAAGGGTCGCTGTATCTCCATCGGCACCCGGATGCAGTGTTAAATGAGCAAGGGGGCCATAGAAACTTCTTTTCGAACGACTCCACTCAAAGTTGTTTGGGAGCATATGCTCCTATCAACTTTACCCGGGACACACAAAAGAAGTACTTTGATCCTATTAGACGGGGGAGGGTGAAGAAGCTAGGACAGAAGGGTAGAGTTCAAGAGAGCAAAATGCGTTTAGGAACGTGGAATATAGGAACCTTAACGGGAAAATCTATGGAAGTAGTGGAAGTTATGGTGAGGAGAAAGGATAAATATTATGTGCCTACAAGAAACTAAGTGGGTTGGTAGTAAGGCAAAGGATCTAGAAAACTCAGGGTTTAAACTTTGGTATTCGGGCACAAATAGAACGAGAAACGGTGTTGGCATCATCGTGGACAAGACCTTGGTACAAGATGATGTTGTAGATGTCAAGAGGGTAGGAGATAGAATCATGGCAATCAAGATTGTAATAGGACAAGAACTTATCAATGTGATTAGTGCGTACGCACCTCAAGTAGGGTTGGATACGAGTTCAAAGGAGAAATTTTGGGAAGATCTTGGAGACTTGGTGCAAGGAATTGCTCAGACGGAGAAGTTATTTATAGGAGGAGATTTAAATGGACACGTGGGCAGGGAGAGACAGGCAACTATGGAGGTTTTCATGGTGGCCATGGTTTTTGGGGAGAGAAACGAGGATGGGGAAGCTATCTTGGATTTTGCAATGGCATATGATCTCTTCTTAGCCAACACCTTCTTTAAGAAGAGAGAAGAACATGTGATCACCTACAAGAGTGGGTCGTCAAAAACACAAATAGATTTTCTTCTAATGAGGAAAGGGGATCGTATAACTTGTAAGGATTGCAAAGTTATACCAGGAGAGAGAGCGTGGCTAATCAACATCGCTTGTTGGTGATGGATGTACATATCAAAAGAGTAAGACAAAAGAACAAGACTTGGAAGTGCCCAAGGACTAGATGGTGGAATCTAAAAGAAGAAAAAACAAGCCATTTTCAAAGAGAAGGTAATCACCCAATGTGTGTGGGATAGAGAGGGGGAAGCTAGCCAAATGTGGGATTCCATGGCTAGTTGTATCCGAAAAGTAGCAAAAGAGGTATTAGGAGAGTCCAAGGGCTTTGCCCCACACCAAAAGGAATCTTGGTGGTGGAATGAGGAGGTACAAAAACAAAGGTGAAGGCTAAGAAGGAATGTTGTAAAGCCTTATACAAGGAGAGGACCGATGAAAATGGTGAAAGGTATAGAAAAGCGAAGCAAGAGGCGAAGAAAGCTGTCAGAGAAGCTAAGTTAGCGGCTTACGACGATATGTATAAACGACTAGATACCAAAGAAGGAGAGAGTTGGATATCTATAAACTATCTAGAGCAAGGGAAAAGAAGACAAGGGACTACCTAAACCAAGTGAGGTGCATCAAGGATGAGGATGGAAAGGTTCTTGCTACAGAGAACGCGGTTAAAGACAGATGGAGAGGTTTATTTTCATAATCTTTTCAATGAAGGACATGAAATGAGTGCTTCTTTAGGGGAGTTGAGTAACTCAGAAGAGTGTAGAAAAACTACTCATTTTTTATCGTCGTCGAATCCGGAAGGAAGAAGTGGTTGTAGCTTTGAAGAAGATGAAGCATAAAAAAGCAATAGGCCCAGACGATATACCAATCGAAGTGTGGAAACTTTTGGGAGAGACAGGTATAACATGGCTCACTGACCTTTTCAATAGGATTTTGAAAACGAAGAAGATGCCAAATGAGTGGCGAACGAGCACTTTGGTGCCTATCTACAAGAATAAGGGCGACGTACAAAATTGCATGAACTATAGGGGTATTAAGCTAATGAGTCATACAATGAAGCTCTGGGAGAGAGTCATTGAGCATAGATTGAGGCAAGAGACACGGGTTTCGGACAACCAATTCGGGTTCATGCCAGGGCGCTCAACCATGGAGGCAATCTATCTCTTACGAAGATTGATGGAAAGATATAGAGATGGGAAAAAGGATTTACACATGGTCTTTATAGATTTGGAAAAAGCGTATGATAGGGTCCCAAGAGACATTCTTTGGAGGATTTTAGAGAAGAAAAGGAGTACGAGTAGCATATATCCAAGCTATAAAGGATATGTATGAAGGAGCAAAGACTGCCGTAAGAACTCATGAAGGACAAACCGAAAGCTTTCCCATAACTGTAGGATTACATCAAGGCTCATCCTTAAGTCCTTACCTTTTTGCGTTGGTAATGGATGAGTTAACAGGACATATTCAAGATGATATTCCTTGGTGTATGCTTTTCGCAGACGATATAGTGTTGATAGATGAAACTCAGGAAGGGGTAAATGCAAAGCTTAACCTTTGGAGAGAAGTGTTGGAATCTAAAGGTCTTCGCCTAAGCCGATCAAAGACAGAATATATGGAGTGCAAGTTCAGTGCAAATGGAGGCCAAAACGAGTTAGGGGTGAGGATCGGAGATCAAGAAATACCAAAGAGCGACCGTTTTCGTTACCTATAGGATCTATCTTGCAAAAGAACGGAGAATTAGATGGAGATCTCAACCATAGAATACAAGCTGGATGGATGAAGTGGAAGAGTGCATCCGGCGTGTTGTGTGACCGCCGTATGCCACTGAAGCTCAAGGGAAAATTTTATAGGACGGCAATAAGGCCGGCGATGCTGTATGGCACAGAATGTTGGGCGGTGAAACATCAACACGTACACAAAATGGGTGTAGCGGAGATGAGGATGCTTCGTTGGATGTGTGGGCACACGAGAAAGGATAAGATTAGGAATGAGGATATCCGGGGTAAAGTAGGAGTAGCCGAAATTGAAGGAAAGATGAGAGAAAATCGGTTACGGTGGTTTGGACATGTGCAAAGAAGGCCTACTGACGCTCCGATTAGAAGAGATGCGACTATGGGACAGAGGTTCAGGGCCGAAGGGGTAGAGGAAGACCTAGGAAAACTTTGGAAGAGACTCTAAGAAAAGACTTAGAGTACTTGGATCTAACGAAGGACATGACACAGGATCGAGCACAATGGCGTTCTAAGATTCATATAGCCGATCCCACTCAGTGACTTGGATTTTCCAAGTCTCCAACCGAGAAGTTTTCCTCACTCGGGAAAATTAAGGGAACACTACCCCCAACCTACATGCTCCACTCAGAAAGCTTCAACATACAAGCTTCAACAAAAGAAAATTCAAAGAACTTAGCGAAGAAGGCTTTGGTGTATTTAACACAATACGTTGAAATGAAGGAAAAGCTTATTTATTGATATCCCCGATAAGCTACAAATATGTACATATACATGAGTCAAAATAAACACACAAGAGAGAGCCTTCACAAAGGTTGCTTAGGAGAAGTCTCAGCAGTCGGTAGAGCCCCAGAAAGAGAAGGCACCGGAGGGGGATCATTTGGAGTCTCAGTACTGGACAGAACTCTAGAAGGAGGAGGCATCAGAGGTTGATCATTTGGAGCTTCATTACGCGGTACAGCCCCAGAAGACGAAGGCAATAAATGCCTTTGGAACAAACCCACAAATCTCTGATGATCAAGTAAAACCTGACCATCAGTTTCCTTCATCTGGTCAAGCTTCCTCTTCATGTTTGTAGCATAGTCATGTGCGAGAGCCGGTGCAACTGTTTATTCTCATGCTTGAGCCCTCTAATCTCCTGTTTGAGACTCATCACTTCAGCCGCCAATGATTCAACTTGGCGGGTTCGAGCAAATAGGCGTTGGGCCATATTAGACACAAAAACCTGCACACTGAACACTGAGAGCCAGCGAATCCTTAACAGCTAACTCATCAGACCGTTTGGAAAGTAGTCTGTTATCTTTGGGAGTGAGAAGGTTCCTGGCCACCACCGCAGCGGTCATATCATTCTTCATCACGGAATCCCCAACGGTAAGAGGACCAGTAGGGGAGACGAAGGATGGGCGCCATATGTTGTCTGGAGAAGGCGGGGCTGCCTCTTCAACAAGGTTCAAGTCAAAACGACGGTCGGAGGGGCCAGACATTTTCAAAGGTGTTGAAGAGAGAAGAGGTCGGACAAATCAAGATCTTAGAAGTGCAAGAATGAAGCTTCTACTGGTGGAGATTCAAGTGTGCTTTGGAACTTAATGCCAGCCCCTATAAAAATCTGCACTCGACGGAGCTTCAGAAATCGAAGAGGCGCCTGCTCAGAAATCGAAGAGGCGTTTGCTTTCTCAAAAGCTGGGCTGCTTAGAGATCACGAGGGTTGATCTCAGAAATCGAAGAGGCGTTTGCTTTCTCAAAAGTTGGGCTGCTGCTCAAAGACCACGAAGGCCGATCTCAGAAATCGAAGAGGCGCTCGCTTTCTCAAAAGCTGGGCTCCCCAGAGACCACGAGGGCCGATCTCAGAAATCGAAGAGGCACCTACTTTTCCAGCCTTGTCAGCACCTGTCACACGCACACTCAGCTTTGCTGAAATTATGGGCATTCTGTCGAAGACTTCTGGGGAAGTAGAAAACACATGAATCTTACTGTTCAATCACCCACTTCCCACACGCAACAATAGCTCATGGGTACCACAGATAACTTTGCCAAAGTTCTCTGCCAAAGTTGAGCACGTGAAGCTTGCAGCTCCCTCTACATCGCTCTGACCAAGAAGGGTAAAAGAATAGCAAAGAAACAGCACTAACAAAGTTTAGACCCATAAATTTTGAAGGTCTAGCTACCATATTATTACCCACAAGGGTAAAGGAACAGTACCATTGCTGGATAATTGGAAAGTCCCTGTGTGTCAACCTCTGTGCTTCGCGGCAAGGTAGACTAGCAAACATGCCCAACCTTTACTCACATTCGAGAAAACACTCCCAATAAGATTGCGAAGAGAGGGTAAAGGAACAGTACCATTGCTGGATAATTGGAAAGTCCCTGTGTGTCAACCCCTGTGCTTCGTGGCAAGGTAGACTAGCAAACATGCCCAACCTTTACTCACATTCGAGAAAACACTCCCAACAAGATTGCTTGCTCCAAAATCGAAGAGGCACCGCCCTCCGAATCTCGAGAGCCAGACTCCCAACATGATTACTTTCTCAAAAATCGAAGAGACACTACTCCCCGAATCTTCGAGAGCCAGACCCCCAGCATGATTGCTTTCTCAAAAATCGATGAGGCATCGTTCTCCGAATCAATCGAAGAGGCGCTCGCTTTCTCTCAAAAGCTGGGCTGCTCAGAGACCACGAGGGCCGATCTCAGAAATCGAAGAGGCACCTACTTTTCTAGCCTTTGTCAGCACCTGTCACACGCACACTCAGCTTTGCAGAAATTATGGGCATTCTGTCGAAGACTTCTGGTGAAGTAGAAAGCACATGAATCTTACTGTTCAATCACCCACTTCCCACACGCAACAATAGCTCATGGGTACCACACAGATAACTTTGCCAAAGTTCTCTGCCAAAGTTGAGCACGTGAAGCTTGCAGCTCCCACACTACATCGCTCTGACCAAGAAAGGTAAAAGAAGAATAGCAAAGAAACAGCACTAACAAAGTTTAGACACATAAATTTTGAAGGTCTAGCTACCATATTATTACCCACAAGGGTAAAGGAACAGTACCACTGCTGGATAATTGAAAAGTCCCTGTGTGTCAACCTCTGTGCTTCGTGGCAAGGTAGACTAGCAAACATGCCCAACCTTTACTCACATTCGAGAAAACACTCCCAACAAGATTGCTTGCTCCAAAATCGAAGAGGCACCGTTCTCCGAATCTCGAGAGCCAAACTCCCAACATGACTACTTTCTCAAAATCGAAGAGAGGGTAAAGGAACAGTACCATTGCTGGATAATTGGAAAGTCCCTGTGTGTCAACCTTTGTGCTTCGTGGCAAGGTAGACTAGCAAACATGCCCAACCTTTACTCACATTCGAGACAACACTCCCAACAAGATTGCTTGCTCCAAAATCGAAGAGGCCGCCCTCCGAATCTCGAGAGCCAGACTCCCAACATGATTACTTCCTCAAAAATCGAAGAGACACTGCTCTCCGAATCTCGAGAGCCAGACCCCCAGCATGATTGCTTTTCTCAAAAAATCGAAGAGACATCGTTCTCCGAATCTCGAGAGCCAGATACCACAGACCACTTTTTCAAAAGTGCTCTGACAGAGTTAAAAAATGTGAAACTGGCAGCTCCCACTACCGTGCTATGACCAAGCAGGGTAAAGGAATAGCATTACTACTTGTTGTTAGGGAGACTCCTATATATGTCGACCCCCATCCCCAACGGACAGGCAGACCTGCAAAAATGCCCAACCCTTCATCATATCTGAGAGGGCACTCCCAACGAAGCCTTTCGAAATATTCAGCTTTCTTTCCCCCCGATAATACCTCTGCAAACAAGCTATACTAGAGCAAGAATATCTCATATCATCAGGGTTAAAAGCAAGAGTATCCCCATATCATGCTTTTTTCCCTGTCTTTTCCTTTGGCCTTGTTTTTACCTGCAAGACAAGGAGAAAGAGAGCAATCAGTCAGCACTTGGAATCAAGCTTCCAGCCAGGAACTGACTGCCTGGAACCCCTTACCTGATTACTTACCTGGCATTGCTCTCGAGTACTCATCTTCAACATCTTATGTTTCCAGGGAAGATTCCGCATCTGCTTGAGGAACAGATAGGGCAAGTGCGAAGGATACAAGGAAGCATGTGGGAGACAAGCGTAACAGCACACGTGCCGATACATCCATTACTCTGTCAAAAGCAAAAGTATCCCATATCAGCAGGGTGGAACGTACCCTAGATTTGAATGGACTTGTTTTGACCCTCAAATTCTTCAGTCGGCCTTATACTCTGGAGGAAACCAGAAAACCCTCCAGCTCAGTTCAAGAATAAGCCTGTGGAAAGTTACTTCTTCAAAAGCAAAAGTATCTCATATCATCTCTTCTCATTTTTCTTCTCTTTATCCTTCATGCTGCTGCAAGATGGGGAGAAGGTGAACAATCAGTCGGAGCTCTGATTGCTTACCTTGTCTGTCACCTCTTTCAGCAGACCCCCTAGCTCGGCGACTTGGGGGACTCCTACTACATGGTTTGTATCGCGCTTGACCAAGCCTGAAACTACAAGTAAGCTTCAAGTGAAATTGATACATTACCTTGTGCATCTCCACCAGTTAAAGATACCACCCCTGGATGGAGGAAGAGTATTTTCCAGAGAAGATGCCACATCTACCTATGAGACAGATAAGGCAAGTCAAGACGACACCACACTCCAATACTTAGAAGTTTCGTGATTACGAGATCATTCTCCCACAATATTTCCTAATGTCATTTGTACTAAATCATTCACTTGTACTCACTAAAGGAGAGCTTGAACCTATGTACTTGTGTAAACCCTTCACAATTAATGAGAACTCTTCTATTCCGTGGACGTAGCCAATCTGGGTGAACCACGTACATCTTGTGTTTGCTTTCCTATCTCTATCCATTTATATACTTATCCACACTAATGACCGGAGCAATCTAGCGAAGATCACAAAAAGCGACCGTTTTCGCTACCTAGGATCTATCTTGCAAGAGAACGGAGAATTAGATGGAGATCTCAACCATAGAATACGAGCTGGATGGATGAAGTGTAAGAGTGCATCCAGCGTGTTGTGTGACCGTCGTAGGCCACTGAAGCTCAAGGGAAAATTTTATAGGACGGCAATAAGGCCAGCGATGTTGTATGGCACAGAATGTTGGGCGGTGAAGCATCAACACGTACACAAAATGGGTGTAGCGGAGATGAGGATGCTTCGTGGGATGTGTGGGCACACGAGAAATGATAAGATTGGGAATGAGGATATCCGAGGTAAAGCAGGAGTAGCCGAAATTGTAGGAAAGATGAGAGAAAATCGGCTCCGGTGATTTGGACATGTGCAAAGAACCGACTGACGCTCCGGTTCGAAGATGTGACTACGGGACAGAGGTTCAGGGCCGAAGGGGTAGAGGAAGACCTAGGAAAATTTTGGAAGAGACTCTAAGAAAAGACTTAGAGTACTTGGATCTAACGGAGGACATGACACAAAACCGAGCGCAATGGCGTTCTAGGATTCATATAGCCGACCCCACTTAGTGGGAAAAGGCTTTGTTGTTGTTGTTGTTGTGGAGGTATACTTCCAGAAAACCCGTTGTCCTCCATGTAGAGCTCTGTTAACGAAGTGATGTTACCCAAGGAGGACGGAATTGGCCCAGAAAACTTGTTGCCACCCAAAAAAAGTACCACTAACTTTTGAAGCTTCCCAATTTCATTAGGGACACTATGATCCAAATAGTTACGCTCCATTCCTAGACGGTTCAAGTTTATAAGATTTCCAATGCTATTAGGGAGGCTTCCATGTATCAAATTTTCCCCAAGAGTAAGGGACTTTAGTTGGGTTGAAAGGTTGGCAAGGGAACCCGGGATTCCTCCTCCAAAATGATTTTGGAAAATACTCAATGTTTCCAAACTAGTGCAATTAGCCAAGAAACTAAAAAAATTCAAATCACCGTTTTTTCCATTTCCCAGTCGATTGGATTCAAAGTTTAGCCAAACTAAGCTCTTCAAGCTTCCGATATCTTCACCAGGGACTGACCCAGTGAGCTTATTTGCAGCAATATCAAACCTTTGAAGTCTAGAAGCATTTGACAAAGATACAGGAATATTTCCTGTGAATTTGTTCATACCACAGAAAAATTTTACGAGGTTAGGGAGCATAATGCCGAGATTTGGTGGTAGCTCTCCATGCAACTGGTTTTCAGTAACACTAAAAGTGTATATTGAAGAAATATTATAGATTGTGGAAGGAACCATACCAGATAGATTATTCCCCTCAACTACGAATTCCTCCAAGCCTGTTATAAGGCCCAGCTCATTGGGTATGCTTCCTTGAAAATTGTTTTCGCCAAGATAAAGACTGCTCAACAAAGAAAAGTTTCCTATCCAAGGTGGGATGGTTCCAGTGAGATTGTTACCATAAAGCCATAGATGTTCTAAATTCAACAATGAACTGAGTTGGTTCGGAATGGACCCCTTAATATGATTGTATTGCAAATTAAGCATTCTTAGTTGTGCGCATTGCGACAAATTAGTTGGAATTTTCTCACGGAAGGAATTATGAGAAAGGTTGAGATATTGTAGGCTTTGTAGACGACCCATTTCCGAAGGAATTCCCCCATGAAAATTGTTGTCTTTCAAATTGATTGCAATAAGATAAGTAAGATTTCCAACGGAAGGTGGAATGGAGCCTACCAACTTTTTTGATATCAGGTTCAACATCAAGACTCTTTTGGTGGAACGATGGCAAGAAACCCCAACCCAATTGCAGAAATGGATGGAATGATTCCACGAGCTCATGACATCGAAAGGATCTGCGGTTATTTTTTTCTTGAAGTCTAGCAGAGCCAAGTGATCAGATTCATTTCCAAGCAGAGTAAGACTGCGAGGTGCTGTAGATTCAAGGCAAGTGCTCATGCATAAAAGAATGAACCCATGCAGGAATTTGAACAAAACCAGCTTACGGTTGATACGTGAATGCTCCATCATTGCTCTAAGACAGAGAGCAAAACAGGTTAATAAACGAAACTGAATTTGCACAAATCCATAAATTTTGAAATTTTGAAATTTTGGGAGTTAATGTTTTGAGAAACAGCTCTCAATTTCCGGTTTTTGTTTTTGCTGGTTTTTGAAGTGGTTGTGAGAACCGGTTCTTTTGAACCAATTTAATCGGTTTTAGTGATTGCATGTAGAGGGTTTTTGAATTTGTAGAGTCGATCTGAAAATATTGTGGGATTCTAGGGAATTGAGGTTTCTTCCTATTCTAAATTTTACAGACTATTTGTTTTCTAAAATTTGGTTTTGGATGAGAAAACGATGATAAACAGATGGCAAGTGTAGTTCTTCTTCTAACATTTTGCTAAGTTTGCTCAGCTCTAAACCCTTCAGTCTACAACATAGATATATTGAATTTATAATAAACAGTTAAGAAAAATAGTGAAACACCAACAAGAAAAACAACAGAGATACTGCACAATTAAAATGAATAAGGGATTATATATTAGTATTTAAGATATATAATGTTTACTGATGTGTACCTTTTTTGTTTTTTTGATGAACAATAATGATTTCAATTTTTTTAGCACTGATCATTTTCAGTTAAAAGTAAAATGTTTTAGGTTGACTCTTATTCTGTGTGGTCAATTCCCTCACCTCAGTGGGTAAAATAAAATATGGTTGCATAACAAAATGGATCTTATACTTATGCAAAATATCGTTGCATAACAATATGTTAGACATAATACAAATTTCCCTTGAAAATTCTGAGAGAAGATACATTTTGTGTCAACAAAAGTCTGACGCACTATTCCTTTTCTTTTTATATCCACCTTTTTTGTTATGATATCATTTAACCTCCCTTTTGGACATGCTTACACTATAGTAAAATGAAGTTAAGTTATAAGCTTTCTTGGGATTTTCGGAAAGTATGAAAATATGAATATTATCAAAGGAAATTGTATTGAAATTCAAAGGTTTTATTTGCACTCATTTTTTTTTTCTTTTTCTTTTTCGTATGTTTGTGAGGAGATTAGAAACAAGCTCAAAGGTTTTGCACTTTTTCTTTTCTCAATATCTTTGATTCTATATCAAATTTTCTTCATAATTAATTATCCTTTGTGAATGTTGATATTGTAGTGAACAATCACAAGAAGGTAAAATAAGTGAAGAAGAAAGTTGTTGAAGCCAAGTATGCTTAAGCAAATCAAACAATTTGTGCCTTTTTACTGTAGCTCTTTATATGTTTGGCATTAGTATTCTTTCTAAACCCATAAACTTGAATTTACTTGGAAGGTTTTTTTTTTTTTTTTTTTTTTTTTTTTTTTGTGTAATCTGTATTTGCTTGGGTTGAATGAGTTGTATTTGATGATTTTTTTTTGGGTAAATATTGCTTCTTATTTTCTTCAGTTTGTTTATCCCTCTCATAAATAGCAAAAACACAACCAAAACCAGGTATGAGGTTTTCTTTTCCATTACAGGAGTTCCAATAAATTTTAGTTTTGCTGTATCTATTTGTCAATAATTTTAGTTTTTTTTTTTTTTTTGAGAGAAATTTTTCTCTACATGAATATTATACTAGAAGGTATCTGTTCGGGTTTTGTTTTTGTCTTAATATAATGGATAAATTTGGATATGAGTTTTGATCTTTTCAATCAATTGAATTCTTTGGTTTCTATGACAATCTTAATCAACAGGTGGAGGGACAACAATTTGGAATTTTAGATCTCCCCATTGAGTTGCATTTTTTGGCAACCCCAATATTTTAGATCACCCCATTGGGTTGCATTTTTTGCATTTTCTGGGTTTTATTGGGAAGGAGAGAAGGTGGGAGGAGAGAGAGAGGGTGAGGGAAGATAGAGAAATTTTTAATTCCAACTTTTACCTTTTATTGTGTTATTAGTGGAACCCATATACAACATTTATTTTTTGAGCCGAACTCATAGGTAGAGGGAGAGTCCGTTATCATTTCCCTAAAAACAAAAGAATAATCTTACACTTATTATTTATTTGAACCATCATTTATATCATCTCTTTAATATAGGTTGGGATTGCCAATGCATTTGAGTCTCATCTTTATTAGAGAAATGGAATAAATAATGGTACAAATATGTGGCAAGAGTAACATTTTTGTAAATAAAAAAAAAAAAAAAAAAAAGTTTTTGTGAATAGTGAATAGAACTTGTTGGAGTATGTGGCCAAGTGGCCAACTTTTGGCTATAAAAAATTATAAAGAAAAAAAGTGGACAACAAAACAAATTAAAAAAAGGAAAGGACAACATGATTATGTTTCCTTGTTTTGTGGCCTGTTTTGTGGCTTTTTTAAAGCCATAATTATTTGGTTTTCGGGTAGAAGAAAGGAGGAGAAGAAAAGAGGGCTCATTTTTCTGAAGAGAGAAGTTAGAGCTACCGAGAGCAAGGAGAGTTGCAGAGAGCCTAAAAAGAAAGAAGAAGCTGCTGCTTTATTAGTTAGTAATCATCTACCAAATTAGTTGTTGTAATAGCTTTGAGCTATATGTATAGAGAAGAAATTATTCATTATATTTCTTCCTCTATTTGTTTCTTTGGTGTGTGAGAGCTATTGGGTGTATTGGGTTATTTGGGTTGTGAGATTGCCAACACTTTGTAAACTCCCATTTGGTTGATAGTGGATTATTGGGTGAGCTCCTACTGCTCTGAGGACGTACTCCAATTACACTGACTGTTGAGGAACCTCGTTAAAATCTTGGTGTCTTTAATATTTTGTTCTTGCATTTCATTTGATATATTTTCTGTGGGTTATCAAGAGTTGGTTCCATAAGGTTTTGGTGCTATCCTAGCACAACAATTGGTATCAGAGCACTGGTTGCTCTTGGGTACTGTCTAGTTGCCAAAGATGTCAGACGGGCAAGATGAGAATCCTTTTGGAAGCAGCTCCGGGTTTGCAAGAACTACGGTGCAAAATGCAAAGTTCGAAGTGGAAAAGTTTGATGGCACAAACAACTTCGGGATGTGGCAATGTGAGGTCAAAGATGTGTTGGCTCAACAAGATCTACTTGCCGCTTTGGGAGAGAAGCCGGAAGCTATGTCGAAGCCGGAATGGGAGAAATTAAATTTGTGGGCTTGCTCTTCAATTCGGTTGTGCCTTGCAAAAACTCAGAAGTATTTTGTGATGCGGGAGACATTAGCAAGTGTGTTGTGGCAAAAATTGGAAGACAAGTATATGACAAAAAGTGCAGAGAACCGGCTACACTTGAAGAAAAAGCTCTACCGCTTCCAATACAAAGAAGGTACAAAAATGATTAGACACCTTGATGCTTTTAATAAGTTGATTGCCGACTTGTTAAATTTAGATGAGGATATTAAGGATGAAGATAAGGCCTTAATATTGTTGAATTCATTGACGGACTCTTATGAGCATTTTGTTACCACTATTATGCATGGTAAAGAAACTGTGAAATTTGAAGATGTGTGAAATGCCTTGATGAATTATGAAATGAGGCATAGAGATAAAAATCATGATAGTACATCTGAAGCTTTATTTGTTAGAGGTAGATCATCGGAGAGAAGATCATCTTCTAGTAAGAAAAAATCACAGTCTTGACCTAGAGGAAACTCTAAAGGTAGAAAACCTTTGGAAAGGGATGAATGTGCCTTTTGTCATAATAAGGGCCATTGGAAGAAAGATTGTCCTAGGTTGAAGACCAAAGGCAAAGAAAGTTCTGAAGCTAATGTTGCTGAGGTTGAAACAAATTTTTCTGATTTTGCTTTAACCACTTCCTCATCATTTGATTGTGCTACTAAATGGGTGTTGGATACGGGTTGTACTCATCATATGACTCCTCACAAGGATTGGTTTTCAAGCTTGAAAGAGTTTGATGGTGGAGTTGTGTTCATGGGAGATGACAATCCTTGCACAACAAAAGGGATTGGTACAGTTCGGTTGAAGTTGCATGATGGCATGGTTAAAGAGTTGACAGGTGTTCGGTATGTACCGAATTTGAAGAAAAATCTTATTTCTTTGGGTACTTTGGAATCCAAGGGTTTTAGGTTTCATTCAGATGGACAGACATTGAAAGTTACTTATAGTGCACTTGTTGTGATGAAAGCTCCTAGATGTGGCCATTTGTATTTATTGCAGGGAAGCACTGTGACAGGTGAAGCATCTGTAGTCTCTGAAAATATGGGCACATCTGATTCAGATACTACTAGATTGTGGCATATGAGATTAGGCCATGCCGGTGAGAAAGCTCTACAAGGGCTTGTGAAAAAAGGTCTTCTAAAAGATGCCACGACTTGTAAGCTTGATTTCTGCGAGCATTGTGTCTTGGGGAAGCAAACTAGAGTGAAGTTTGGTACTGTTGTACATCAGACGAAGGGCATTCTTGATTATGTGCATTGGGGTCCTACAAAGACTCCCTCTTTGAGTGGTAGACATTGGTCCGTGACCTTTGTTGATGATTATTCAAGAAGGTCTTGGGTTTACACTATGAAGCACAAGAGTGAGGTATTGAGCATTTTCTTGAGTTGGAAGAAAATGGTTGAGAACCAGACTGGGAGAAAGATTAAGATTTTGAGATCGGATAATGATGGTGAATAAACATCCGACCCTTTCTTTAAAGTTTGCAAAGAGGAATGAATTGTGAGACATTTTAGTGTTCGGGGAACTCCACAACAAAATGGAGTTGTAGAAAGATTGAATCGAACCTTGCTTGAGAAGGTTATATGTATGTTGTCTCAGTCGGGTTTAAGCAAGTCATTTTGGGCAGAAGCAGTTAATTATGCATGTCACATCATCAACCGGTTACCCTCAGCTGCTGTTCAGGGTAAGACACCAATGGAGGTATGGACTGGAAAACCTTCTTCTGATTATGACTATATCCGTATTTTTGGTTCACCTGCTTATTTTCATGTGCCTGAAAATAAACTTGATCCAAGAGCCAAAAAGGCTATCTTTCTTGGTTTTAGTAGTGGTGTCAAAGGTTACGGTTGTAGTGCCCAGAGATGAAAAAACTTGTAATCAGCAGAGATGTGACATTTGATGAAGAAAGTATGTACAAAGTCTCTGAGAAGAATGTGAAAGATGTCCAACATGTGGAGCTTGAGAAAGTTGCCTCTGGTACTTCAAATCCTATTTCCGCTGATGTCGAAGCCACTACAAGTGAAGAAGTTGGAGACCATGAGGATGTTGAAGAAGTTGAACTTGAAAATTCTATTCAAGTTGAAGATGAAGTTTCACCTCAAGAGTCTATTGCCAAGAACAGAGGAAAGAGAAAAATTACCAAGCCAGCTCGGTATAGTGACTATGTTTCTTTTGCTCTTCCTATTATCACTGATGAGATTCCATCCAATTTTGAGGAAGCTATTGAGAGTGAAGAAAAGGAGAGGTGGTGCAATGCCATGGGTGATGAGATGAATTCTCTCTTGAAGAACAAGACTTAGGAGTTAGCTAAATTGCCTAAGGGCAAGAAAGCTATCGGTTGCAAATGGGTGTATGCCAAGAAGGAAGATGCTGATGAGAAAAGCAATGTGAGATTCAAAGCAAGATTAGTTGCTAAAGGGTATGCACAAAAGGAGGGCATTGACTACAATGAAATCTTTTCTCCAGTTGTGAAACACTCCTCAATTCGCATTATGTTAGCTCTTGTTGCACAGTATGATCTTGAGCTTGTGCAACTTGATGTGAAAACGGCTTTCCTACATGGTGATTTGAATGAAGAGATTTATATGTGTCAACCGGATGGGTATATAGTGAAAGGGATGGAGAATTTGTTTTGCAAATTGAAGAAATCACTTTATGGCTTGAAGCAATCTCCAAGGCAATGGTATTTGAGGTTTGATAAATTTATGAGAAGCCAAAATTATTCTAGAAGTCAATATGATCATTGTGTGTACTTCAAGAAGTTGCAAGATGGGTCTTTCATTTATTTGTTGATATATGTTGATGATATGTTGATTGCCTTAAAGAATGTTGAAGAGATTGAAAAATTGAAGAAGCAAATGAAGAATGAGTTTGAGATGAAGGATCTTGGTGAAGAGAAGAAGATCCTTGGCATGGAGATCACTAGAGATAGAGAGAAGGGTTTGGTCAGTTTAAATAAAAAACAATACCTTGAGAAGTTGATTCGGAAGTTTGGAGTTCATGATTCAACCAAACCGGTTAGTACTCCTTTGGCTCCTCATTTTAAATTGAGTTCTCTACAGTGTCCTAAAACTGATAAAGAGAAGCTGCAAATGAAAAATATACCATATGCAAATTTGGTTGGTAGTTTGATGTATGCAATGGTATGCTCTAGACCGGATATTGCTTATGCAGTTGGCATGGTGAGTCGATATATGCATAATCCAGGTAAAGAGCATTGGCAAGCAGCTAAGTGGATATTGAGGTATCTCCATGGTACTCGAGATGTTGGTTTATGCTTTGAGACAGATGACTCTGGTATTGGTCATTTTGCAGTTGGTTATGTTGATTTAGATTATGCAGGTGATCTGGATGGAAGAAAGTCTACTACAGGCTATGTGTTTACTATGGCTAAAGGACCAGTTTGTTGGAGGTCCATTTTGCAGTCGTCTGTTGCCTTGTCTACTACAGAGACTGAATATATGGCAGTTGCTGAAGCTATAAAGGAGGCCATTTGGATACATGGGCTGATTAGAGATTTGGGGGTTGATCAGAAGCAGGTGGAGGTACATTGTGATAGTCAAAGTGCTATTTATTTGGCTAAGTATCAGGTTCATCATGCGAGGACCAAGCACATAGATGTGCGTTATCACTTTGTTCGTGAAATTGTTGGTGAAGGGGAAATCATTCTCCAGAAGATTCCAACTAAAGACAACCCCGCTGATATGTTGACTAAGGTTGTTGGTGTAGCCAAGTTTGTTCATTGCTTGAACTTGGCTCATATTTTGCCTATATAAAGAAGGCGTTGAGCAGTAGGAGTTTTGGAGCATTTGGCTCTGCATGAGTTGTTCTCTTGCTAGTGTTTGGGAGTGTTTGGGAGTATTTTTGTGTTGGTTGGCTTATCATGGTGATTTCGGAACTTGGCCAAGGTGGAAATTGTTGGAGTATGTGGCCAAGTGGCCAACTTTTGGCTATAAAAAATTATAAAGAAAAAAAGTGGACAACAAAACAAATTAAAAAAGGGAAAGGACAACATGATTATGTTTCCTTGTTTTGTGGCTTTTTTAAAGCCATAATTATTTGGTTTTCGGGTAGAAGAAAGGAGGAGAAGAAAAGAGGGCTCATTTTTCTGAAGAGAGAAGTTAGAGCTACCGAGAGCAAGGAGAGTTGCAGAGAGCCCAAAAAGAAAGAAGAAGCTGCTGCTTTATTGGTTAGTAATCATCTACCAAAGTAGTTGTTGTTGTAATAGCTTTGAGCTATATGTATAGATATTTCTTCCTCTATTTGTTTCTTTGGTGTGTGAGAGCTATTGGGTGTATTGGGTTATTTGGATTGTGAGATTGCCAACACTTTGTAAACTCCCATTTGGTTGATAGTGGATTATTGGGTGAGCTCCTACTGCTCCGATGACGTACTCCAGTTACACTGACTGTTGATGAACCTCGTTAAAATCTTGGTGTCTTTAATATTTTGTTCTTGCATTTCATTTGATATATTTTCTGTGAGTTATCAAGAGTTGGTTCCATAAGGTTTTGGTGCTATCCTAGCACAACAGAACTAACAACAATTAAAGTGCTAATTAAGTGGGTTAACCAACATGAGCAACAATTAAATGCTAATTTCACTTTTCCTACGCGGTTAATATTTATGAATATAGTCCATTCAATAAAGCTCGTATATGCGAAATTTCAAACACATGGAATTGGAATTATTTTCATTCATGACTTCTCCTTCCCAGTTACTGCTATAAGATTATAAATATGAGGTTAAACATTAAGGCCAGCTATACAAGGTTCAATTGATATAGAAAAGTCTTATTAAAAGAGGAATGCTAGTCCTTGTTGTATTAGCATTGTATTATGACGTTGGAATTGATTTTCCTACTGGACAGGGAAATATATTCAGTTTCCTATATGGATTTTAATACGGATTCCTCATTAGTTTTGTCTAGGATTATGTTCGATATATGGTGGTCTCTACTACTGTCACAGATACTAAGCTCATTATTGGACTTAAACTATTATGAGTCGAGCGTATTATTTTCTGCAAGAGAGGAAAGGTTCACTGAGTTTTGTTAGGAGAGTTTTTGACTATGGCATCATCTTCTGGAGCTTCTACAGGTTAGTCTTTGGCCATTCTAGTCATATAAATATTATATTTGCAGATATGGTGTTACAACTGCATGAATATTCATTTAGTATCTATAAGCGAGATATGAAACCTAACTAAAATATATAAAAATAATATACCTGCAAACAAGACATTAATTTGTGATATAAGTTGATGATAAAAAAAGAATCAGTCATATAATAGATAAATACAATTTACCTGTGATATAGATAGATTATAAAAATTAAAAACTAAATCTATAAATGGGGTTTAGAGCAGGAAGAAGAAGAAGAACATACATAACAAAAAGAAAAATAAGTAAGAATAAATAATTAAAGAGACAATTAGAAAGAAATTTAATTTTTATTGTAAATTTTGTCATTAAAGAGACAATTATTTATAATAACATCATTTTAAACTTAAGGGATTGGAATTATTTTAATAAATAATGAATTGTATTTTATTCAAATACTTACAAAAAGATTCATTAGATTCATATAAGATTGAAGCTTAATGTTTGAGAAAGAGACGCAGATTACATGTTGAATGACATCATGAAAATTGTTCAAACAATATAATTTCATGAAAAAGCACTCAATCTGTCTTCAAAAGTTCATCCAAATCATATATACAAAACAAAAATATCAAACAAATATAAACAAAAACAAGACAAGCGGTAGTCACCTCTTTTTTCGTAACCTTGGCCGCTGCAGTGACGTTTTGGGTGCCTACTTCGTTACCAATTGCTTTGGTATTTGAGAAAGAGACGCAGATTACGTGCTGAATGGCATCATGAAAATTTTCAAATAATATCATGAAAGAGCACTCAAATCTGTCTTCAAAAGTTCTTCCAAATCATACATACTAAACAAAAATATCAAACAAATAAAAACAAAAACAAAACAAGCAGCGGTCACCTTTTTTTTTCTTTCATAACCTTCGGCATGTTTTGAGTGCCTACTCCATGACCAATCGCTTGAGTCACCGTGCAGTCATGAATAAAAGGATGGTGACATAATTGCTCCCTCCTTGTCACGAGAAGAAAAGGCTTTGAAGGCAAAGCTAGAAATGGAGGGTGTGTGTGGACTCTAGACTATTAACTAGAAACGGAAAGCAAAAGAAGTATGCAGAAAGAGAGAGAGATGGGGTTTAAATGTGAGGGCAGAGTAAGGAGAGGAAGCAAAAGCAAGAGTGGTAATCAATATATACACACTCTAAGGGGGCAGAATAAATTGGTTGCAGACTCGTCACTCTCGATATTCGAATCTAAGAGCTCTTGTAAGAGAAATATCTTTAACTAGTATTACTAAGTGACAAAAGACTTTTCCTTTTAATATACCTTGAGTTTTATGACTTAACCAACCCAATCTAAGTCTAGCACTAAACGAGTCATATTCAAAGAGGGGTGGCCAAGGACTTGGAATAAAGCGATCATCAACTCGGAAATTTCTATGAGAAAATGGGAATCATGTAATGGAAACTGTTGAATTAGTAATTACTAAAAAAAATAAAAAAATAAATCTTTTTTGAGGAAAATTTGAAAGAAAAACAGAAAACATGTTTAAGTCTTGTTAAAAATATTAACCAAATTCACTTTCATTTTCATAGACTCGAGAAAGTGAAATTCTAAGGAAACTCTTAAAGTAGTATACTTCATGGATTCTTAGTCACCTTACATTTTAACGTCAATTTTCGTGCTAACATTATAAAATGTTGTATAAAAAACATGAGGCGGCAGAGAGTCCATTGAGAGTTTTACATTTAAGAGTCTCCGTAGCATTTCTACTTGAGGGAATATATGTTAAAACCGATATTTAAAAACATTGATTATGTCACATTGTGGAAATTGGAATTGTGCGGTTTCTTTTTGGGTTGATGTGTTGACTTTGGAGTCTTTGCCCTACTTGTCGACAAATTGTCGTGTCCTCACTCCTCACTGGAATTTGTGAAATCGGTAATGAGATCATGATCTCCTCTTTCTTCTAATCAATTTAATCCAGAATTTTTAGGTGTATATTGAATTACCCGTTGCAATGTGAGATCCACATAATTTAAATTTTAAATGTGTTAACAAATGTAGAGCAATGAAGAATGAAAATAATTCCAAAACAAATTCCAACTCATTAAGGAAGTAAACATGCTATAAATAATTTAGTGGCCACATTTAGGAAGCAGAAATAAATACAATTTTAAGTAAAATTTAAATGTTTAATCCTCAGTAGTTTTTAAGTAAATTCAACTAAGGAATCATGGAAGAGTAAGGCCAAGGTTAATCCACAAATGGGGTCTAGAGGCAAGAGCCATTTTTTTTTTTTTTTGGAAAAGCGCTATATTTACACTAATCTTTGCTACTGTTTTTAGTCTCTTCAAAATGAAAAATCATTCCTACAACGTACTATGAGTTGTATAAACATATAACATGTAGAAAATGGCACATAATTAAAGGTTACAAATTTACACCAACTTTGCATTAAATTTGTCTTCATGTTTCAATGGTCAATGTAACAGTGTGAGATGAGTCCTATCATTGTGGAATTATGAGATTGCTTTATGGATTGATTTGTTGACTTTAGTCTTACCTGCGCACTTTGTCTGGTGGAAAGTGGAAGAAAGTGGCGAAACTAAGGGAAGGGGAATCTGAAACTACCCCTTACTTAACGCTTAGGTCATTTCCAACCGAATGGTTCAGAGGGTCAGAGGGTCAAAGGACCGAAAATAATTCGAAAATTGTTTCCAACCGAGGGCTAGGCCAGAGGGCTCTGGAATCTGGGAGGGCCCCACGGAATCGGAGAGGGCTGGTGGGCTGGCTATTTTTTTAATGCTTTGTTATTTCTGTTAGTTATAGCCGACAGAAATAATATATACTATATTATTAGTGTCGGTTATAACCGACACTAATAGCAATGTTAGTGTAATATCAGTTTGAACAATGTCGGTTAAAACCGACACTAATTTGAATTCTAATTTGAATTCCAACGGCTAGCCAGTCACTAGCCGTTGTATTCAATTCTTTTTTTTTTTTATGAATTTAAACCTGTTTGTACCATACTTGACCAATTCCGAAACTACTGAGCACCGGTCAACGTTATACTGTCAAGGACCCAGAAGAGTTTCCCTCCAACCAGGAGACTAATCACAGCGCGACACGTGTCGACATCAGAAGCCAATCATAGCGCGACATGTGTCAACATCAGAAGCCAATCAAAACACGACACGTGTCAATGTCAGACTGAAACTAGAAATTCTCTTCTATGAATAGAGATCATTCTCTGACAATATTTTCTAATGTCATTTGTACAAAATCATTCACTAGTACTCACTAAATGAGAACTTGAACCTATGTACTCGTGTAAACCCTTCACAATTAATGAGAACTCCTCTACTCCGTGGACGTAGCCAATCTGGGTGAACCACGTACATCTTGTGTTTGCTTCCCTGTCCCTATCCATTTACATATTTATCCACACTAGTGACCGGAGCAATCTAGCGAAGGTCACAAACTTAACATTTTCTGTTGTACCAAAGTCCTCACTGATTTTGTGCATCAACATTTGGCATCGTCTGTGGGAACGACACTTATTCCCACTCTCTTCAGCTTTGTTAAGCCGGTTTCCACCATTCGTACACACTCTTTTGACCAGGTATCCCTCTCCAACATAGGGAGCGAAAGAAGCCACAGCACGCAGAATGACACCCCACTTGCACTTGGTGCGAGGCAACGAAATAAGGAAGGAAAGAAGGTTGCTCTTTAAGCTAAAGTCGATGAGCTAGAAGCTCAGAACAACAAGATATCAATGAAGAATGAGGTCCTCCAGGAGCAGTATGAGAAGCTATTTGAGACGCTTCACGAAACTAGGTGTACTCAAACACGCGAGCTCATTTAGGAAGCAGAAATAAATACAATTTTAAGTAAAATTTAAATCATGGAAGAGTAAGGCCAATGTTAATCCACAACTGGGGTCTAGAGGCAAGAGCTTTTTTTTTTTTTTTTTTTTTTTTGTTTGTGGAAAAACGCTATATTTACACTAATCTTTGCTACTGTTTTTAGTCTCTTCAAAATGAAAAATCATTCCTACAACGTACTATGAGTTGTATCATATAACATGTAGAAAATGGCACATAATTAAAGGTTACAAATTTACACCAACTTTGCATTAAATTTGTCTTCATGTTTCAATGGTCAATGTAACAGTGTGAGATGAGTCCCATCATCGTGTAATTATGAGATTGCTTTATGGATTGATATGTTGACTTTAAGTCTTCCCTGCTGCAATTTGTCTGGTGGAAAGTGGAAGAAAGCGCCGAAACTAAGGTATCATTTGTTATGCGGACAGGACGATATATGACCGGACGAAACAGATAGGGAGTAAAGATACTCTCAAATGAAAACAAGGACGAAGAAGAAGAAGACGAAAATGTTATAATTTTGTGTTCCACATATGTAGAACGAGTCGTTCTAGGAAGGTGAGGCGGAACGAAAATTCATTCAAAATTCGTTCCGTGGAACAACGCATTCCACCCGTGTTAGGTACACCAAATGTGGGACGGAACATCTCGTTCCACTTCGTTCCATCCTGTCCCACGTAACAAACGGTACCTAAGGAAAGGGAAATTTGACACCCGTCTACCCCTTACTCAACGCTTAAACACTATCAACTTTTTGACAAATAATTAAAAAATAAATAAATAACAAAAATGGAACTTGAAAAGGCAGAAGGCCAACTGCCCAGCCACTCCCGCTCAACACCGACCACCACCACTGCACCAACGAACATCCATCTTCTCCTTCCAGATCTTCCACACCACAAATCTAGAAGCCCAACTATCGTCATCTCCTTCCAGATCCTCCACATTACCAAACCCACTCAAAACCGGAGGCTACGGCATTGGAAACTACTCCGAGATTTTTTATTTTTTATTTTTTATTTTTACCATTAATATGCTTTTTTAATTAGAGTTAACTCTGTTAGGTTTTGGTTCAGTTAGCGGACACTAACACATGCCTTCACACTTTGTGTGTGTTAACATTTAAATTTTTTTTTTTAAATTTATTTGTTTTTAAAATGGGAAGGAGATAGGGAGAATGAGAAAGTGGGAGGGGAAGAAAGGTTTTTTTTTTTTTTTAATTTTATTTTAATATTCGAAATATGCTAAAAATATATGTAGGCGAGGTTTAAATAAAAAACAACAAATTTGGTTTTATGAATTTTATTACTGCTCATAATTTTTTTTATAATAATAGAAGATTAAATAGTTTTTTTACATTCTTTTGGTGGACAAATTTTTTTTTATTAATATGTAATTTAGATGTGTCAAAATTTCAAGAGATCCTACGTGTACTAATGGGTGAAGAAGATTTGAACTCTCCCTGCACATTGTTGAAGAAAGCAAATGACAATGGGTCACATTCACACACTACTAGCTGCTTGCCAAAGTTTAGCACTCATCATGACACGCCAATGCAAATAATTTTTTTGTAAAAATAATTTTCAAACCAAGATTAAGAAATTGAATGGTTTTCATTAAGAAATTTATACGGTAAACATATGTTATAAGAAAATTTATTAATATGTGCACATTCCCTATTGGGAAAGAAAAAAAACTCCCAATTTCTCTTTTTATGTTTATTTATTTATTTATTTTAACATATTGATTTAGTAAATTAAAAGAGAACAAATACATAAAGACGATACTTAGTACTATGGTCTAGTAATATTCTTATTTTGTTCAATTCTCGCCAAATGCGAACTCGAACCAAATTATTATGGGTATCTCATTGTGAGGTTTTAGCCTACTCTAAAAAAAGGTTTGTTATTATGTGATTCTTTTGGGGGTGTGTATTTTTTTCACAATTGTTTTTGTCAGAGCGGGATTTCGATTTGACAAGAAAGGGAAGGTGGTTTTGTGTTAGCTTAATGGGGGATTTAGGATCTGCCCGGATGACGGGGCAGCACGTCTCAAGGCGGCAAAGTGGAGGGATAAGCAAGCTTCCTAAGAAAAATACCTGAATGTAATATAGCCTAAGCCTCAATGATGAACACAACAAAATGATTTCCGGAAGCTAAACGAAACTTGACCTGCTAAAGATCATCTTTTCTTGAAACCATACTTTTTCCGTTCATAGAACAGATCTGTTTTGGCACTTCCCAGATTCACAATTTTCGGACAGCCATCTCTATCTTTCTCCTGCTGAGTACACTCTTTGCAGTAATAAGCATCAGAAATTCCAACCCCTCCACAGATAACACACCTTCCCTGGAAAGATCCATAGTTGCACTCATCGCAAACCCGAACAAGCGTGCAAGGACGCACATAAGAGTCACAAATTACACACTTACCGTCGCACTTCTCACACAACCTTCCAATAGCTATTCCAAGTTGCTTCCGGCACATAATCAGGTCAGGATGATGCTTCGCCATGTTCCTGCAACAACAGGGTAAAGTAAGATGCTGTCCAACTGAGAGAATAGAGCCAAATCGCAGTAGAAACAGAATCCAAACAATAAAAAACAGATAAAATAGCAATATAATCGAAGTTATAATCGAAGTTGGAACGAAGATAATTGAGTCCTATGGCAAGAAACCCAAGAGGAAACTCTGATTCTGAGAATATATTGATAAAATCTGAATACATTCATAGCCTATTTATACTAGAGGACAGCAGCCTAGAATTCCCAATCCTTTTTTCTAAGAAATCCTTATTCTACTACTACTAGGAACTACCAAATTAAAATTTAATCCTATTCCTACTAAATAAATCCTAATCCTATAAATAAAGACTACACAAAACGTAAAGGAAAACATGAAAAACTCCCAAATTAACTAGAGCCCTAGCCAGCTACGTAGCTAGCGGACTCACTTAGCTTTCGGGAGCCCCTCAGAATATGCTCCTGCATCTTCTACAAATTCAAAATTTCAAGACAAACCCAATTTGCAAATCTGCATAATTTAAACAATTTCATGCCAAATTGCAAGGTGCTTATATTCACAAATCATGAAACTAACGCCAAATCGATCAGCTACGAATATTTGCAAACTCTTTTACAACTATGCACAAAAATAATAAAAGTGGTTTACTTTTGTAACACCAATTCATGAGGGTAAGGACTAACAAAGAATGTAAATTCAAGAAAATGTGCAACAATGAAAAGCAGTTCATTGACCCATAAGTACAAAAACAGAAAAATAAACCCTTTTTTTTTCCTTTTTAATTTCTAATTACTCTTTCAACTTCTGGGCGCTTGCGATATTGCCTAATTCGCATCACAGAAAACAAATTGTGGGATTTAAAAAGGCTGTGTAAATAGATGAAACGATTCATGAATTGAACAGAAAAGGGACCCTAAAAAGGCTAATCGAATGCGCATTCGGCTAGATTTAAATTTCAGATGGTAAAAATTCAAAATTAAGCAGCAGTTTCCACATACGCGAAAGCTAGATATGAAGAACAAGTAGCTAAAGGACCAATGCTTACCGAAGATAGCTGGAGAGGACTCGGACGAAGGGCTGCTACGGTTTGAGAGATGAGAGCTCAAATGACACAGAGAATCGAATAGGGCTAATGTTTCGTTTTCTTTTAAGTTTCAATTAAAAATTCTTACAACAATTTCAATTATCTTATATTTGTTTTCTTATTTATTATTGGGCAGAAGATTTTCACCTATCATGATTTCTCTCACTCTTTTTAATTTTGATAGCCAGATTACTAAATCAAACGAAAACAATTCACAAGATTTAACAGGTTGTGTGAAAATTAAAAAGTATTTATGTTTATAACTTCACCTTTATCAAAATAGCTTTATATGATTTAATAAAAAACGTTTAATGAATTACTATAAATAATAATGACAAAAAACAAGAGAGCGGTGATGATAGTATTGTAAATGAGTTTAGTTTGAGTCAAGGTCTAAAATATCGATGATATCGGAAATATCGGTAACCTAAAAATACGGAAATTTCAATGGAAATATTAGAATATTATTGATATCGATAAAAATTGAATAAAAACCACTGAAATTGTAAGAAAAACTTGAAAAATTTTATTGAAACTTTGCAGGATATTTATTTAGTCAATTATCTATTAGTTTACCACAAAAAAATTAGAAGGAAATGCATTGCATGATGAATTTAACTGATTTAAATTGATTATATAGCGAGTTGGCAAACATTGTGAGTGTATAAAATATGTAGTAATTAATGAAAAATGTTTAAACACACCATAATCATTTATATATAATGAATTAGTACAATATTTTACACTTTATACATTGCATGGTAAGACATGAGTGACTTAGTACCACATAGAGTTTCTATCAAGGTCTAAAATATCGATGATATTAGAAATATCTGTAGTCCAAATACACGGAAATTTCGATAGAAATATCGGGATAATATTAATATTTTAGACCTTGGTTTGAGTATGGTAACTATATTGTAAATAAGTTAAAAGCTATTTCTTCATAAAATTTGTAATTGTCCTTATGATTAAAATAACATTCATTAGATATTTTTGGATAAAAATAAGGTGGTGAGACATTTTGCATTAGTCTTATAATTTTTTATTTTTGTGGTGGGAGGGTAAACTGGCACGTTTAAATAGGACTCAGTCGTAAAAATAAAAAGAAGGTCAAAAGCTAAGCACAGTTAGTAAAAAGTATAGTATGTGAAGCACGTGTATAGCTTTACTCAAATAATACTTTGAAAATTTCGGCATTTTTTTTAATTTTAATATTTATTTAATCGACAATATGTTAAAAATATGGGTAAAGTGTGTGAATTTTATATGTATTATTGAAAGACAGGTGAAAATAACATGTTTTAAACATGAAAAAAAAATGTATTGTACATTGGAGTTTTAAAAAGGGAACTTTAACGAAAAGCATCCGGTACTGTTCACTTTAACGAAAAACCATATTTTTACACTAAAAAGTCAATCCTGGTACTATTCACTTTACTCTTTATTTTGTCCTTATCATTAAAACTCAAAGTTTTCAAGCTCTTTTCATTAGTTTTTCTTTTTAAAAAACATACAATTTAACGGATCATTAATACGTGTACTGAAAACAAAACTTGTTAAAATACGTATGTACATATATAATAAGGATATTATATGCAAATTTACTATGACAATGCTAAATATTATGAAAATTGGTATTGATACTTCAAAAAGAAAAAATCATTATGTTCTTTTCTAATAAAACATATGGTAAGAAATGTTAGCAATTTTTATATTAAATATATTGTTTTGTTTTATACAAAAACGATTTTATGGAGTGGAAAATCGATCCTAGAACTTCAACTACAACAAAAAATGCTCCTAACATGAGCGTACTCCAAACCCTTTGCACTAAACCTTAATCTTAAGCTTTCACCATCACGTAACTTTCTGCTTCTTACTATTTGTAGAATTATCAAAGAGACGGGTCAAATGCCCACTTTCAACAACATTGATATTGTCCCCAACTTGGTAATTACCACCTACACAATCCGTCAGGTGTGAGATTTTATCCCCAATTTGGTAATTACCACCTGCACAATTCGTCAGGTGTGGGGTTTTATCACAAAAGACCTCAGTATTAGTTGGATTGAGATTAAGATATTTAAACTATTCTTTTCTCAATGATACGGTCGATATGAGACATGTCAACACGCCCCCTCACGTGAGACCCAATTAGTGGGTCACACTAATTGGGTGATCCACACATCGCACGGGGCCAAGGGGACTAACCCATCACATGGCAGTACTGTACAGGCCCGCTCTCTGGCTCTAATACCATGTAGAATTATCAAAGAGCTGGGCCAAAGGCCCACTTCCAACAACACCGATATTGTCCCCAACTTGTAATTACCACATGCACAATCCGTCAGGTGTGGGGTTTTATCACAAAAGACCTCAGTGTTAGTTGGAGTGAGGTTAGAATATTTAAACTCTTCTTTTTGCATAATTAGCCATTCAACAAAGAACATAAAAAAAACAATTATCGAACAAAAACCACTAATCATTAAAATTCTAAAAAGCACCACACAAATTAAAATTTGAAAGCTTGGTCATATAAGTAAAACACACCACAAACATCAACCAGACAAAATTCAAAGTGATACCAAGAGAAAGAAAGCAAAAATAGAAAGGAAATTTTGTTGAGTAGGGAGTGGAAAATATTATCGATGAGTGATCATGTCCTTTCTCTTTTGGGCAACATGCTTTGTCCTTCTCAAGTCTTCTTAAACTTTGAGGTACGAGACTTTGATTGCGCTCATTTTTCTGACAACCGCGTCCATCAGTATCCGCTCCCTTGGTAACATTGCACAGCAAGAGAGTCCTATCTGCATCATTGTTACGTCTGGATGGAGTTCGTTCTCGCACTATGTCATTGTTGACATCACCATTTTTTTCGAGGTCGAGGATAATTGAATGGTCAACAACGTCCATGACATGGTCAGGCAAAGCCATGGCTACAAATTGGTAAATGCTTAGACCGCCTTTAAACATGTCATCGGTAGGTTTTTTTCTTGTGAACATTTCCAGCAATAGTATCCCATAGCTGTAAACATCTCCAAGTATGGAAACTTGGCCTCCTGTGCCGTACTTTGCCAGGACATACATACAATATGTCGTATGCAATTGACTATTAGAACAATATCTTTTTTAGATTTACAGGCTACTTATTTTCCAAGAAAAAAGAGAGGAAGTAATGTATTTTTCATAAATAGAGATTAATTAGTTGATCTTTAGTGATAATTTACTAAGAACATAAAAAGGAAGTTAGACTGATAAAAACTCATACCTAGAGGAATGTAGCCTATAAAACCCTTTAGTTAAGATGACATTGTTTGATTGAAGGAGGGATCATCTGATGTTTCAAAGAGGAACCTTGCTAAACCAAAATCCCCAACATGAGCTACCATATCTTCATCAAGAAGTACATTGCTCGGCTTTAAATCACAATGAATAATGGTCATTTCACAATGGTGGTGGAGATAATCTAGCGCAGAAGCAACATCAATGACAATGTTCAATCTTTGCATAAAACTCATTCTTTTACTTGGAGATTTCTCCTCATATCTTGGATACAACATTGAGTCTAGACTTCCATTTGCCATCAACTCGAAAACTAGACTTTTAAAGTCCTTGCCCTGGTTATCAATGCTCGAGCATGCAGTTATGATCTTGAGAAGACTACGGTGCCTTATAGTCCTTAAAGCTTTCCATTCATCTATGAAACTCTTGGAAGCTCTTTGTTGTTGAAGGTTTAATACCTTAACAACAACTGTTGTTCCATCACTAGGAATTACCCCTTTATATACAGAACCAAAACTTCCCAAACCAATAAGATTATCCACAGAGAACCCGTTAGTTGATTCAACGAGTTGTGAGTATGAGACACCTAATTTCCAATCCTTATAAGAACGTGAAGTTGCAAGTCTATCTCTTGACTTTTTTAGCTTTGAACAAGCACCAAAGAAGCAAGATAAGGCAATTATGATTCCAAGTACACAGGCTATGGGGATGACTACTTTTAAGGCAATTATGATTCCAAGTACACAGGCTATGGGGATGACTACTTTTGGGGAATGTAATCCTCGAGATGAGTGGTGTTTTTTTGGGGGGCATGGAGGTAGATATAATTGTGGGATGCCACCACAGAGCTTATGATTTCCAAGAATAGAGACACCATTTACATTTGTAAAAATACCTTCTTTGGGCAACTCGCCCTCAAAATCATTATATGAAAGATTGAGATACTTGAGAACACCAAACTTGCCTATGAATTCAGGAATCTGCCCATACAAGTTGTTGCTTGAAACATCAAGTTTTTCCAAGGCTTTTAAATCTTTAAGAGATTGAGGAATTGTTCCTTGAAACTTATTACCTTGCAAATACAAGCACTCCAAACTAGCACAATCGTCGAGGCTGCTCGGGATTTCACCAGATAAATTGTTTCTTAATACATTTAGCTTCGTTAGATGCACTAAATCACCTACCTCAAAGGGCAGCGTACCAATAAAATAATTATCAGATAGACTCGAGGGTGCCGATAAGGTTGTTACTGGAAAGGGAAAGATCTAATAGGTTTTGGTAATTTCCAAGACTCGGAGGTATACTACCCTCAAACCTGTTTCCCCCCATGTAGAGGTTTAACAATGAAGTCATGTTACCAAGGGAAGACGGGATTGACCCAGAAAATATGTTACTATCCAAATACAATTTCTCTAACTTCTCTAGCTTCCCAATTTCATGTGGGACACTACCGCCCAAATAGTTATTTCCTAATTCTAGAGTGGTCAAGTTTATAAGGTTTCCAATTCCGTTAGGGAGGTTTCCATGTATAAAATTTTCCCCCAATGTGAGATAATTAAGTTGGGTCGAAAAGTTGGCTATGGATCCTGGGATTGCTCCTCCAAATTATTATAGCCAAAAGACAAATTCTCCAAACTAGTGCAATTAGCCAATAAACTGAGAAAATTCAAGTCACCAACTTTTCTATTTCCTAATTGATTATCTGCAATGTTTAGCAGAACTAAGCTTTGCAAGCTTCCTAGACTTTCACCAGGGACTGTCCCAGAGAGGTCATTTTGAGGAAGTTCAAGCACCTGAAGTCTAGAAGCATTTGACAATGATATAGGAATGTTTCCTTCGAATTTGTTCGCACCGCAATAAAATTGTACGAGATTAGGAAGCATAGTGCCGAGATTTGGTGGTAGCTCTCCATGCAACTGGTTGCTAACAACACTGAAAATTTCTATGGAGGAAATATTATAAATCGAAGAAGGGACCATACCAGATAGATTATTCAGCTCAACTACAAACCTCTCCAAGCCTGGTATATGCCCCAGCTCATTGGGTATGTTGCCTTGAAAATTGTTGTCGCCAAGATAAAGATAGCTCAACAAAGAAAAGTTTCCTATCCAAGGTGGGATGGTTCCAGTGAGATTGTTACCATAAAGCAATAAATATTTTAAATTGAACAATGAACTGAGTTGGTTCGGAATGGAGCCTTTAATCTGATTGACTTGTAGATCAAGCCATCTTAGTTATGTGCATTGCTACAAATTAGTTGGAAATTTCCCACGGAAGGAATTATGAGAAAGGTTGATATATTGTAGGCTTAGTAGTCGACCCATTTCTAGAGGAATTTTCCCATGAAAATTGTTGTCTCTCAAATTGATTGCAGTAAGATAAGTAAGATTTCCAACTGAAGGTGGAATGGAGCCTACCAATTTTCTAGATTTCAGGTTCAACATCAAGACTCTTTTGGTGGAACGGTGGCAAGAAACCCCAACCCAACTGCAGATATGGATGGAATGATTCCACGAGCTCATGACATCAAAGGGATCATCGGTTATTCTTTTCTTGAAGTCTAGCAGTGCCAAGTGATCAGATTCATTTCCAAGCATAGTAAGGCTACGAAGTGCTGCAGATTGAAGGCATGTGGTCATGCATAAAAGAATGAACCCATGCAAGAATTTGAACAAAACCAGCTTACGATTGGTACGTGAATGCTCCATCATTGTTCTAAGACAGAGAGGAAAATAGGTTAATTAACGAAGTTGAATTTGCACAAATGCATAAAAGAGAAGAAATGTTATCACATAGAAGAAAAACTTGATTCAGTATGTTTACAAAAAATGAGATGGCAACTATAAGTACCAAAAATCATAGAGCTCTGTCCTGCCATACATCTTACAAGGAATGAAGGAGATTTTTCAAATGTAAAGGAAACCTTGTCAATTCTTAATTAATCTTTGGACACACAAGAGTCTGATTGATGCGATCGTTCCCAAGTAACATTTAGAAGGAAAAGTTTAAAGGATATTGGGATTATTAACCGGAGAGCTTTGACAGTTTAAGACCTAGTTTGGGAGTGAGGTGCTTAAAAAAAAAGCACCCATGAAAAAAAGCTGTGAGAGTTTTAGGTGTTTGGTAAACTGAAAAAAAAGGGCTTATTTTGGAAGCTACTGTGAGAATAAGCTGAAATCAAAGGAAAAAGCTGAAGCTGCTATTTGTAGCTTTGGAAAACTGGCTTTTTTTCAAAGCACTCGAAGCTACAGTGCTTCTTTAATGAAAAGACCCACTATTAGACTGCTTTTTTTTCCAAAAGCACTTTTACAAAAAAGTTTACCAAACACTCTGCTGATTTATTTCACAGCCGCTTATTCTCACAGCACAGCCGCTTATTCTCACAGCAGCTTTTTTTCAAAGCACAGCAATACCAAACCAGCCCTAAGTCTCACTTGTATTGGCTTCTTCATTCTCCTTTCTCTCTTCCTCTCACTCTTCTCCTTGACTCAACTGGCGACGACAACCAAACCAACAAAAAAAAAACCCTCTCCTCCCCGGAACCGTAACGAGGCATGTATCGAGTGATGTTAGTTTCTGAGATGAAGGGGAGATGATTGGTGTCTTTGGTTCCTCTCTAAAAGTCCCTTTCTCTCTCCTTCGAAAATTCCTCGCCGTTGTCCTCTCCTTGATGGCTCAATTCGGGTCTGCTTAAATCCTATAACGAGTAAGTACCTCCGATATGTGATTTTTAGGCCATCTTCAATTGAAGGGTCCAGAGGGCCAGAGAGTTGAAAATAGTCCGAAAATCGTCTCCAACCAAGGGCTAGGCCAGAGGGCTGTGGAATCTGAAAGGGCCCCACGGAATCGGAGAGGGCTGCAGGGCTGGCTATAAGCAGCCAACTAGCCAGCCCGGGGTTGGCCAGAAAATTGCTTAATATTGTCGGTTATAACCAACATGAATACATTTATATTATTTAATATAAATGTATTCATGTTGATTATAATCGACATGAATTCTTAAAAAGAATTTTGAATCCAACGGCTAGCTGGCGCCAGTTACCGTTGGATTCAATTTTTTTTTATAGGTTTTTTAATTCACAAAAAATCTATTTTTTTACCTATCAATACCTAAACCATTCATTCACCATTCCTCACAAAATTTTTAAATTTAAGTTAATGTTGTTTTCAAATTTAATTTGTAGTTTTTAAATTTAATTTGTCATTTTTAAATTTTAGTTGTAGTTTTTAAATTTAAGTTGTTGTTGTTTTTAAATTTAAGTTGTTGTAGTTTTTAAATAATAAATTATGTTTGACCCTATGACCCTTTGACCCTCGGTTGGAGACGGTTTTTTGTGACATGGCTAAAATGAATCCTCTGGCCCTCGGTTGGAGACGGAGGTAAATATGGCCCTGTACTGTTCATTAAAATATTAATATCTTGGAGAATCTTGGAGGGCTAGAGGGCTAAAACGAGCCATCTGGCCAGCCATCAGTTGGAGATGGCCTTAGGGTTCTGAAAAGGTTTATCGGCTCCGAATAATTTGAAATTTTGGGAGTTAATGTTTTGATAAACAGCTCTCAATTTCCGGTTTTGTTTTTGCTAATTTTTTAAGTAGTTGTGAGAAACCGGTTCTTTTGAACCAATTTAATCGGTTTTAGTGATTGCATGTGGAGGTTTTTGAATTTGTAGAGTCGATATGAAAATATGGTGGGATTTTGGGGAATTGAGGGCTTTTCCTATTCTAAATTTGGTGTGTGCGTTGTGCTGAGTTTGAATTTGAATTTTACAAACTGTTTCTTTTCTAAAATTTGGTTTTGGATGAGAAAATGATGATAAACAAAGGGGAAGTCCCACGCTTGCAGTAGACCTTAAATATGTGTAAGTCATCTTTTCCTCTATTTTGTTGATTTTGTGCCAGACTTGCATTATACTATAATTACCAGGCCTTAATGTATATAAGTATATTATTGTATTACAATATAAAAGTATATTACTGTATTATAATATATTAATAATATAATGTATATAAGTATATTGATGGATTATATTGTTGATGGATTATTGTAACATCCTACATCGCCCAGGAGAGTGGATCCCTTAAGCCTTATATGTATATTCTCATCTCTACCTAGCACGAGACCTTGTGAGAGCTCATTAGCTTCGGGCTCCATCAGAACTTCGAAGTTAAATGAGTTCGCGCGAGAGCATTCCCAAGATGGGTGACCCACTGGGAAGTTCTTGTGTGAGTTCCCAGAAACAAAACCGTAAGGGCGTGGTCGAGACCCAAAGCAGACAATATCGTGCTACGATAGAGTAAAGCTTAGGATGTGGTGGGGGCCCGGGTTAGGATGTGACAATTTGGTATCAAAGCCAATCCCTGACCGAAAGTGTGCCGACGAGGACGTAGGGCCCTTAAGGGGGTGAATTATAACATCTCACATCGCTCAGGGAAGTGGATCTTGTAAGCTTTATATGTATATTCACATCTCTATCTAGCACGAGGAGTTCGTGCGAGAGCATTCCCAGGATAAGGGATCCACTGGGAAGTTCTCGTGTGAGTTCTCAGAAACAAAACCGTGAGGGCGTGGTTGGAGCCCAAAGCGAACAATATCGTGCTATGACAGAGTCAACCCCGGAATGTGGTAGGAGCCCGGATCAGGATGTGATAATTATAGTATATATTGATGGATTATATTGTTGATGGATTATAGTATAATGCATGGTCATGTCTCTTTTTTTTGTATGTCAGAAAAGACTTTCCTTGATTATCATTATCATATACGTATGGAGCCAAGGGCGGAGCCAATTAAGGCTTAAAAGGGGTAGCAATGTAGTTCTTCTTCTAACATTTTGCTAAGTTTGTTCAGTTCTAAACCCTGTCGCCTGGTAATTATTGAATTCCTTACTAATGTTGTTTTGGCTTTTGGTTAAATTAGGTCAGGAAAAGTTCTATACTTAATAACTTTTGAAATGATAATTACCAGTCTACTATATAGATATATTGAATTTATTATTAATAGTTATGAAAGATAGTGAAACAACAAAAAGAAAAACAACAGAGATATTGCACAATTAAAATGAATAAGAGATTATATATTTGTATTTAAGATATATAATGTTTATGGATGTGTACCTTTTTTTTATTAGTTTGATGAACAATAATGATTTCAATTTTTTTGCACATATCATTTTCTGTTAAAAGTAAAAGGTTTTAGGTTTGACTTTTATTCTGTGATAGTCAATTGCCTCACCTTATTGTCTAAAATAAAATATCGTTGTATAACAAAATGGATCTTATACTCATGTAAAATATCGTTGTACAACAATATGTTAGACATAATACAAATTTCCCTTGAAAATTCTGAGAGGAGATACATTTCGTGTCCATAAAAGTCTGACTCACTATTCCTTTTCTTTTTGTATCTACCTTTTTTGTTAAGAAATCATTTCACCTCCCTTTTGAACATGCTTACACTACAGTAAAATGAAGTTAAGTTATAAGCTTTCTTGGGATATGCAGAAAGTATGAAAATATAAAAATTGTATTGAAATTCAAAAGGTTTTATTTGCACTCATTTTTTTTTTTTGTTCGTATATTTGTGACTACGGGACAGAGGTTCAGGGCCGAAGGGGTAGAGGAAGACCTAGGAAAACTTTGGAAGAGACTCTAAGAAAAGACTTAGAGTACTTGGATCTAACGGAGGACATGACACAAAACCGAGCGCAATGGCATTCTAGGATTCATATAGCCGACCCCACTTAGTGGGAAAAGGCTTTGTTGTTGTTGTTGTTGTATATTTGTGAGGAGATGAGAAACCAGCTCAAAGGTTTTGCACTGTTTTCTTTTCTCAATATCTTTGATTCTATATCAAATTTTCTTCATAATTAATTTTTTGTGAAGTTGATATTGTAGTCAACAATCACAAGAAGGTTAAATAAGTGAAGAAGAAAGTTGTTGAAGCCAGGTATGTTTAAGGAAATCAAACAATTTGTGCT